ATTGTCTTTAAAAAATTAGAAGACGTAGTATTTATGATTGCCAATGAGACAACTATTCTCATGAGTCCTTAGGTCATTATTGGTCACCGTACGGCCTCAACAATGAGCAAAACTCATTGCGTTTATATAGTCAGCTATAAAAGGCCCCAGAAACCACAAAATGTGAAACAATTCAAACGAAAAATAAACAAAGGCCTGATTTATGACAAACAATAAATGAAAAAAAAAAATATATATATGACAGACAGCAATCAGCGAAAACCACTGAATTACAGGCACCTCACTTGCGACAGGCACATATAGAATGTGGCTGGGTTAAGCATGTTTGTGAGCGCTCAACTCTCACATAGTCTAAGCAAAACAGTGGTGTAACAGCCCAACATAAGAACAATCAGTTGGAAGTGGCTTGACTCATCATATTGGCACGAAACACAAAAAACAACTAATACATTTACTGATTGAGTAAATAACATTATTTTTAATACATATTCTGTGAATGGAATTTCGAGAAATAAAATTTAAACAAAGAAAAAGATCCATAATGATTGTTTCTCCCTTTTTTTAACATTCAATAAATTCATCTCATTTTCATAAGTTTTCAATTAACAGTACATGTCTCTTTGGAAGAATAAGTGCATAAATATCATTTTATAATTGTCAGATGCAGCTCGAAGAGTTCTAAATTAATGCATAAACAATGACCATGGGAATTGCGCAAGTTCATGTTTTTGTTCTAGTCTGTATGAAATCTGTCTACGTTCAGGGTACTACTATCATTTCGGTTTCGCAACTGCACCGAGGATTTTCTCAATTGCTCCAGAAAGTTAAACAAATTCTCCTCAAAATCTGGCTTCTATCTTGTTATTCATGTACAGTAAAAATTCTCTTTTGGTGCTATTAGAATCTGAAACAAAAGGACAGGATTGTGGCTACGGCAAATTGGACATATCCATGGTCATCTGTGGTCATCTGTGGTAAGATTTATTGAATGTACCAATTATACTGCACGTACAGATGCGCATGTTGACAATCGATGTCTCCTCCGTGATACTTTTAAATATTTGAATATCCAAAACCTAACGCAAACGTTGTAGAGCTGATAAAACAAAACAAAAAACACCAAAAGCACGCGGACAAAATATCAGAGCTATGAATGAGGGATATACGTTCACTTATTTCACAGGGGCCTCGGTGGCCGAGTGGTCTAAGTAGTTACTACTGTAATCACTAGCCAGTCAACACTGAGGTTGTGAGTTCGAACCCCGCTCGTGCGGGTGCACTCGACTCCAATCTTAATTGACTAGGATTGTCAGTTTTCTTATCGAAGGTCGGTGGTTTTCTCCGGGCACTCCGGCTTCCTCCACTAATAAAAACTGGCCGCCACGAAATAGCCCAAAAGCGGTGCTTAAAAGTGGCGTTAAATCACCAAATTTCAATAAAACAATATCCGTATTTATATACATCCCATTACCGACATACATATTCCATATGCATAACGGTCAACCCAATCATAATGGCGTCCATAAATTAAAAACTTTCCATAGGCTGTTTTCAACTTTACCACTACGAACCCTCGGTTCAATAGCTTCCTTTTGTAAGCAACAATCCTCTATCAAGGAAACCATGATAAGAAACGCAAACTAAGATTTATACCCAATATGCTAGCGCTGCTAGGATGTTGCTACAAAGAAATGGAAAGTTCAAAACATGAAGCTGAAATTATATCTTTTTTGTAAATTTTGGAAAGTAGCAATTTATACAAAGAAAAAAGATACATAGTTTTCTCCGCTTTTTTAATATTCAATACATTATCTCATTTTTAATTTACTGTATATGTATCGTTGGAAGTATAAATGTATATATAATTTTACAATTGACGTTTTTTGTAGATCTTATCTTGCTGACTCAGTTTCGCTATTTAAAGTTTCCGTCTATCTATCATAGTTTTCAAGTTTTTAATATTAAAAGGCAAAAATGCATTACCATGTTGACTATAAGTTATCTATGTTCATATCCGTAGATATGGATATTTTAACATCCTGAAGTATCCAAGTACACCCTGAGGCGCAGCCGAAGGGTGTACAGGGTACTGAAGGGTGTTAAAATATCCATATCTACGGATATGAACGTAGATAACGAATTTATCCCCGGTCTTAGTCTAAATCTGGCGATTTTTAGAGAAATTCGACCATAAAGTTTAACGTGAAAGCAACGTTTTTTTCATTTTTTAAATATCTTTTATTGAAATTTGGGAATTTGACATATTTTTAACGGGGTGTAGGGTACTACCTTTGGTAGAACCCTACAGGTAGACAAATATAAGACGTTTTTAAACTAGAGACAGAGAAACTGAAATGGGTCGAATTTGGCGCGCAATGTTGTGAGAGTTTCATCATAAACGGTGTGACGTCAACGTGGGTCATTTGCATAGCTAGGTCAGTAGTACCATTCATTGACAATGTGGCTGCATAGTGATGCATTTACTAAAATGAGTGCAACTAGTCGATATAATAAGATAAAATCGTTAGTGGATTAAGTATTTAATTATACAGACATCATGGAAAATCTACAGAATTCGATATTTCATAAGGAACAACCATGGAACAAAGGAAAACGCGCGTGAAATTCCCCGATGTAATGGATAGCAACGTCCGGGGATATGGGTTAGCAACACCCAGGGGCTATGGGTTTTGTAACGACGTGCGTTAACCAATCAAACTCCTAGAAATATACTAAGCCGGGGATAAAATTATTTCTCATCCGACCCGCATTACCATGTTGACAATTATTTCTCATCCGAACCGCATTACCATGTTTACAATTATTTCTCACCGCATTACCATGTTGATAATTAGTTCTCACCCGACCCACATTACCATGTTGACAATTATTTCTCACCCGACCCGCATTACCATGCTGACAATTATTTCTCATCCGATCCGCATTACCAAGTTGCCAATTATTTCTTACCCGATCCGCATTACCATGTTGACTATTAGTTCTCATCTGACCCGCATTACCATGTTGACAATTAGTTCTCATCCGAACCGCATTGAAAACCTCTAAATTTAATTCTAAATATATGAGGCAGACATAACTGTATCTGTGGTATCCTTAAGTTTGTTTCAAGTTTGATCGGTTAGATGCATATATCATAGTCACCATACTTTGAATTGTTTAATGTAAGGAGCGGAACGTGAGGTTACGGGATAATGCTAGCTTCTTTTAATTCTTCCCAAAAAAGCTGCTGTATGAGGTCTGCTTCATCTGAAAAAACGAAAAAAGACAAAAAGAAGATGATTACAGTTGGAATGCAAATTGTGTGTGAGAAGCACATTCTGTAAACATAATAAAGATGTTGTCGATACAAAAATAAAGCATGTTGTTGTTGTTACTACCACTGGGTCGATACCTCTGCTAGTGGCAGGGGCGGATCCAGCCATTTATAAAAGGGGAGGTTCCTAACCCAGGATAAAAGGGGGGGTCCAACTATATGCCCCATTCAAATGCATTGATCGTCCAAAAAAAAGGGGGGTTTCAACCCCCGGACCCCCCCCCCCCCCCTCCTTCCCCTGGATCCGCCACTGAGTGGACTGTTAGTCCCCGAGGGTATCACTAGTCCAGTAGCCAGTGCTTTGATACTGGCATGAAATACGGATATTGTGTTATCAAAATTTGTTGTTACGCAATTTTTGAAATTATTTTGAATTAAGGTATATATAATATATCTCCTTCATGCAAAGCTCAAATTCCTTGCCCATCTTTGGTTATATTTTTGTCCTTTTTGGTTTATAAGTTCTTCATTTTTTAAAATAAGTTTAAGATGTTGTAATAGTTTGGCCTCGAGCATCACTGAAGAGACATTTATTGTCGAAATGGTGCAGAAAAAGTGGTACCGTTAAAGTTACTGTTGTCAGTTTCAGATATTTTTTTTGTTTGGATCAGAGTGGGTTTTTTGTTGTTCACTTGACCTGAAGGATCAAGTTAGCTTTTTTCGATATGTAGCGTTCTTAGTCCGTTAAATTTTACCAAAATATTAATTCACCTTTGAAACTAATGGGCCAATTGTCACTTGACAACAGTATCGTAACTATATCCCTTTTGGATAAGTCTGTTTAAAGGTTTGGTTAGCTTTTGAGGTGAATGACAAAAATTCTGTGCTTTATATAGAATATTACCATAAAAGATAGGATGTGAAATACATAGACGTATAAGATGTCTGCACGTTGATTTATATTTACGAATGATGTTCTTGTATCATGATCAAATGTAGTACAAGTTTTGACGTGTTTGTGATATCGAAAAGGCTGGTGTAATGATTTTCAGTGTTAAAGAGAGATCAAATACGTTGTTACATATATACACAAGAGCGAATCGAACAAGTTGAGATATATAAACACCATACGATGGTGCCAAAGGGAACCGTTCACAATCTAAAACAGAAAATTAACAATAGGAAATGAAAAATCATCTCTTTTATCGTAAATTTTAGTATTAAGCTTCCCTTTAAAGATATAGATATCAAAATCCAGTTTTAACCTTATCAATGAAATCACGGAAATTACGCCTGTATAGTTCCTAATCATTTGTATTACATGTTTGAGTGTTTCTGATCATACTATTTCTTGTCTTCAAAAATTCAATATACTTTAATTGTCCTTCTCCAGCTATACATGTACATTGTAATTATACATATATTCTTTTTAAAAATATCCAGATATAAAAATAACCATTCGCACTGAGACTACTATAACACGTGTTATAGTAGTCTCAGATTCGCATTAAAAAAAATTAGAATTATTACAAACAAGCAAAAGTAAATTGAATGATCAGTTAGTAATAAAAGTTACTATTAGGCCTATATGAAAAATGAGATACTTTAGAAACTAATGAGAAAAGGCTTAGTGTGTACCTATAGCAGGAGGAATATAAACGCATCGGCTATGTATATAGTATATATTTTAGCTTCCTTCCCCTATCTTAAAATATCCGGTCAAAAAATAGGACGCTTTACAAGTTTGGAATAAATTTGTGTCCTTATTTGTGAAAGATGACACACTATACAATAAACGAGGTGACATCAGAAAAGTCCGACGTAACATTTCGTGGAATACCGTACGCTGACGCCGACCGGACAGGGCATTGGAGTATATGGGCGATATCACTACTCTTTCAAGCTAACAGAGCAGTTGGTATGACGAATTCCTTCATGTATATGGACAAATTGCTCACAAAAAACGTCGGGCATGTAATAACAAAACAGATATTAGACATCAACCCGCTGGTTTATAGATACACGTACAAAACACCTATCAGATTGAGATTTTTAATGGACATCAAGGAGATCGGAAACTCTTCCATAATCTTCGGTACTGCTCTATACGATGAAGAGACTGGACTAAAACTTGCTCAGAATTTGCTCAAATTTGTACAGATCAACACAGAGACTAGGAAGTCATTGCCATTTCCAAGCTGGTTTCAAACTAGTTTGTCTCACCTCAAAATGACAGGGAAGTATACCAGCCTAAATAGAACCACCCTTCCTGAAACACCTGAAAACTATTTCCGATGGAAAGTTATTGTTCGCTACAGTGATCTAGATAAAAACATGCATTCTAATCAAGCCACTTACCTAAAACTTTTCATGGACTGTGCTACCAAAGCATCAACATCAGGATATTATCGCCATTTTAAAACTGATATGTGCTGGTTTAATGTGGAACATGTTGCTATTAATTATATTGGAGAAAGTTTTGTGGATGATGAACTTGAGATATATACCTGGCAAGACAATTCAGATGATTCTAAAATATTCTTTTCATGTTGTAAAGACAAAAAACAGATTACCTTTGCAGAGTTCAAGTATGGAATAGAAAGAACTAAGCTTCTTTCATCTGCAAAATTATAGCTTCATCAAGGAACACATAACAATATAATTAAGGTGGTACATAACACTACAGGGAGATAACTCTGTAAAAATCAGCTAAACATTTTAATCATGTTCTATTGTTAAGGAAATATTAAGCTTCTCAATGATCAAAATTAGTGTTTGTCAAACTGCTATCATGGCTAAATATCCAATGAATTTTTTCCGATAAAGTGTGTGGTTCAAGTTTTTTGAAAGTTTTATATTTTTGTCAAAGGGTCATAATAAAAATTTTTGTCAAAATTTTATGATACATGTAATTAAACGAGCCAATTTAATTTTATTCAAGGTGTTTGGTACCACCTTAAATAATTTCTATTTTACTATTCATTGAATGTATTGGATTATTATTAATTTAATCAGATAGACAATAATTATAATTTCCAGTGCTCAGTCAGGGGCGGATTCAGGCGGGGGTGTGGCGGGCGTGCACCCCCCCCCCCCCCCCCTAAAATTTGCAAAGCATGAGTTGTCCTCAGCCTAATTCTCGCTAATTTTACCACAAAATATTTTAAGTTTGAGCCCCCCTAACCTATTATCCTGGATCCGCCCCTGTCAGTCAAGGACTAATAATTAACATGTTATGCAATTTGTGCACTTTTATATATTTTATATGTTTTAAAACAATTGAAAATACTCACTCAGGTTTATCATGTTTATAATCAAGATAAATAAGAAATTAAATTTATGAATACTTAATTTAATATTTATCATATAGATATAAGAAGATGTGGTATGAGTGCCAATGAGACAACTCTCCATCCAAGTCAAAATTTATAAAAGTAAACCATTATAGGTCAAAGTACGGTCTTCAACATGGAGCCTTGGCTCACACCGAACAACAAGCAATAAAGGGCCCCAAAAATTACTAGTGTAAAACCATTCAAACAGGAAAACCAACGGTCTAATCTATATAACAAACGAGAAACGAGAAACACTTATGAACCACATCAACAAACGACAACTACTGAACATCAGATTCCTGACTTAGGACAGGTGCAAACAATTGCAGCGGGTTTAAACATTTTAATGGTACCAAACCTTCACCCTTATCTGAAACAATAGTGTAACATCACAACATAGAAAGACACTCTATAAAATATCAATTGAAATGGCTTAACTCAATCAAAAGACATATTAACACCAGTGAACATACACTGAACAAATAAATTTGACCTATGATACAATGTAAATACAAAATAAATAAACCAAGGGAAGAATAATAAAAGTAACATGTTATACCACTGTAAAATGTTAAACAATTTAAGAAAAACAATATGCTTGAACAAAAATATCAGCCATTTGCAATTACTCTAAACACTGGTAAATGAAAATAATTTTGTTGTTAGGTATACGTGTGACGGCGTGCACAAAGCTGAGTCCACAAATGTAACGACTTCAAATTACTTCACTCATTTACGACGTCAGCATTTTCCCCCAGAAAACAAACGCGTAACAAAAACACTGGACACTTAGTTTATCACATAGCTTTAAACATACAGGTTCAACATATTTCTTTTTTTTTTAACAACAAAGTGCAGCATATGCTCATTCTGGAAATATAAATAAATATATGCTAAGAGCAGTGTTATGGAAATAATAAGCGACTATGTCATGGAGCCTATTCAGAAAATAGCGTTAAAACGTCATTTCTTTAAATTGTAACATAATAGCTGGACATTAAAAAAATTCAGGTGTTCAGCCTGGACTATCGAATCATTCATATTTTGCAGATTTTTTTTAAACCTTTTGTTATGCATATTTGGAATATCAAGCTATTTTGAAATAAAAAATAGCACTTAAATATTTTTTCTTACCGATTCTTCCATTTTCGAATATTAATCCTTCCAAATTACTACTTCTTACACATAACGAACTACATTTCAAACTCATCCACCATGGCCGTTTTTGATTTTTTTTTTGCGGTGAATTTCGTATGACGTCATAGTCCGAATCCGAAAAATTCTTTTATACGAAAATGCGGGAAAATATGTTGAATTTGTATAAATTTTAAGTCAAAAACTCTATTTTATGCTTATTTTATGTTACAAGTTTCACATATTTTTGCCGTTTTCTCTATGTTCGTTTCATACTTTATAGATTTAATTTTGATAACTTTATAAGTATTGTGGATTGTAATGGCTAGCATTCATCATTTTATCATAAAAAAACTTACTATTTAAAATATATTTTCGACACGGTTGTATAAAACTACTTTTAAAAGCGCATTTTACAGTTGCCTTCAACTTTGTGCACGCCGTCTGACATACAGTTCAAATAGAGAAAGGAAATATTTTTACAAAATAAATAATTTTGATGTTCATAGTACGAAGAAGTGAAAATTTATAGTAATACCAAACATGTTTATAATATGCAAGTTCCTAATTAGATGTCTAGACTTTAAAGGTTTAGCTGTGCAGCAGTGACATGTTACAAAAATGTAGATATGCAACAGTTTAAAAAAATGCACATGATACATGTGTATATACACTGGGGTAATGTATATATATATATAAATATAGTCACAATGACTCTGAGTTTTCCAATCAGGCAGTAACATCCATGCTTAAGGAGAGACGAAAGATACCAAACGGACATTCAAACTCATTAGTAAAAAAAAACTGACAATGCCATGGCAAAAAACGATTAAAAGGCAAATTACAGTATACACAACACAACTGTTACACAGTAAACCGAAGACTGAGCAACGTGAACCCTACCAAAAACCGGGGGTGATCTCAGGGGCTCCAGAAGGGTACGCAGATCCTGATCCACATGTGGCAACCTAAAGAGATTGAATGTCATCTGTGGATGTATAATTATGTAGCCATGTCCAGTGCTATATATCTTTCCAACATCTCTATGAGAGGTCAGTAGGGGCCAGTTGCAAAGCAAAATTTCTGTCCTTATTCAAAACACCCTCTTTTTCAATACTAATATACATGCATTTTCAACCCTTCATCCAAGTCAACCAACTTTTCAGAACCTTATCTAAGTATACTTAGGGGTGGATGGGGCAGGAGGATTTTTTCCAGATTGATATTTTATTTTTATCTGTTGCTGATCATATAATGCATGCTTATTTTTTATCTGCGGATTTGTGGCTCGAATATTTATTTTCACTTTACTTTATTTTATTTCATGTTGCAGAATGTTCATTTTCATCCTGTCTTGTTCAAAGTCATTTATTTTCCGTTTTTACCAGGCCGAGTTTTTATTCATTAACAAAGTCCTCCTATATATCAAGGATACTTTTTTATACATGTATATTTCTTTTATTCGCATCATCAGTAAAAAATATTTTTCTAATTGTGTCCAATGAGACACCCACCCCATCCTACATTTACCTATATATAATTCTGTTTCTCGATACATGTGTAGGTTAGGCAACTCAAATGTCTTTTCATGGAAATTTTAGGGATTATGAAGTATCAGGGGCAGGGTTTAGTGTATAATGTACAACATGAAAAAAAAAACACAAATCATCCTATGTACTACACCAGTCAGGGGAATTACTTAGCTAAGTGATTATTAAATGATTTTAATCACTTGGTTTGATTAGGGTTTTAACAAGAATTATCACAAATATGAGTTATCTATCTTTATTTCATGTCTGAAATCACTGAAATGAGTAGAACATTTAATGTACTAAAAGAAGTGATTTTTGTCGAGCCTTCGACTTTTGTCGAAAAAGCGAGACATAGCGATCCTACATTCCGTCGTCGTTGTTGTCGTCGTCGGCGGCGTCCACAAATATTCACTCTGTGGTTAAAGTTTTTGAAATTTTAATTAAAAGCTAGTATCTAGAAGGAAATTTTTTTTAAATTTTGTTCCATTTTTTCCGTATTTTACTTATAAATGGACTTAGTTTTTCTTCCAGTTAACATTACATACAGTCTGCAGTTTAAGTTTTTAAAACATTTATTAGATTCATAAACTATCCTGAATTTTTACCAAACTTGGACAGAAGCTACTTACAATCAAAAGTTAGTATAAAGAGGAATACTTTTACTTTTTTTTTTCGTCATTTTTGTTGAGCCTGCAATTAACAGCAAAAGTAGGCGAGACACTGGGTTCCGCGGAACCCTTACAAATTTTATATTGTGTGACCTTTCTTCAAAGATATAAAGGCTGTCCCTGCTGGTTTGAATGGAGATAAACTAATTAACTGAGCAAATAGACTCTTATATTATGAAACATGATACACATTTCATATAATATGGATCTGTATTATAAGTGAAAATCACTTGTTTAAGTAATATATTTTTTATGACTATTTTCTGATTAGAAATCACCTCTTTGAGTACCATATTTCAAGCTGACCCCTGGCTTTTTCATTCCCGGAGAACAGTAAAATTTTGACAAGAACAGTACTTTTTTTATTTCATAATGTCTAAGCCGAAATGTTGAAGTTTTCAGGAAAAATACTGCCACTGTTAGGAAAAATCTGATAAGCTTGGGTAAAGCATTTGAAAATGCCCAATTTCACCCCCAAAAATGTATATAATACCAAAATGCAGAAAAAGTGACACAACATTACTTAGGGTTATTTTTGAATAAACCCAATTCTAATTATTACTTTTCAACAGTTTTTTTAGTAAAAAAATGTGTTACGTTTTTATGATTGCTAATTATTATACTATATCTTGAAATTACTACTGAAACAAGTGATAAAATAAATAAGTAATTACCCTGACTTCAAAAAAAAACTTGTTGTTTGTAGTGTTTTCTTAAAAAGTAAATATTGTCTTTGAATTTGTTACTGATATTATGATAAATATCTGAGTGTACAAATGTGCTTCACTACAGAGTTCATTAATTTGTAAGTAAGCAGGAGTTACCTCCCATTAATTATAAAAAAGAAGATGTGGTATGATTGCCAATGAGACAACTCTCCACAAGAGACCAAATGACACAGAAATTAACACATATAGGTCACCTTACGGCCTTCAACAATGAGCAAAGCCCATACCGCACAGTCAGCTATAAAAGGCCCCGAAATGACAATTGTAAAACAATTCAAACGAGAAAACTAACGGCCTAATTTATGTACAAAAAAATGAACGAAAAACAAATATGTAACACATAAACAAACGACAACCACTGAATTACAGGCTCCTGACTTGGGACAGGCACATACATAAAGAATGTGGCGGGGTTAAACATGTTAGCGGGATCCAAACCCTCCCCTAACCTGGGACAGTGGTGTAACGGTACAACATAAGAACGAACTATAACAATCAGTTGAAAGAGGCTTAACTCATCAGATGGATAAAAATACAAATACTACAAATACAAAAGGACGTGGCCGGGTACTTGTAAATGCAAACAACAAAAAGACACTAAGTACAGATCTGAGAGTACTCGCAGTTACTGACAGCTAGTTCAAAGCCACTAACAACTAATAAAAAAAAATCATGCATCTAAGACTAAATTATCAATCCGTACACATCCAACATCCAATGGATTTAGTGTAAAGACGTCATAAACAGTCAGAGAAAAACATGACCTTGTGCAACGCCAAGGTACAGTTATCGACAGATTGTAGATCCATGAATGTGTATATGTATATAACAATAATATTTAGTTTGCTTTTAATTTAATGATAACAAAATCAATATTAGTACCAATAAAAACAATATTTAATGATCTAATTACAGTGTTGAATTGGTAACCTTTTAGAATACGTTTATTTAAAGGATCGATAAGTTTACCAGGATTGTTTCTAAATTTCCGGGCACGGTAAACAATATTGCCGTAAAAATGAGGATGTGCAATCCCATTTGAAATAAGTTTTCTTCAGGTACAACCAAACTTCAAAACCAAATCTTTATATCTGTGGAAGAATTTAGTAAAGGTTTTAAGTAATTTGTGGTAACGAAATCCCTGGCTTAATAATTTACAAGTAATACATAGATTACGTTCGTTAAAATCAAAAACGTCACAACAGACACGGGCATAGCGAACGAGTTGTGAAATATAAACTCCGTAAGATGGTGCCAAAAGAACATCACCATCCAAAAAGGGAAAATAAACAATAGGGAACGAAAAATCGTCCCTTTTATCGTAAATTTTAGTGTGGAGTTTCCCGTGTAAAACCGAAATATCTAAATCCAGGAAAGGACAGTTGTAACCGTTTAAATTTGATTTATTTAAAGTAAGTTCCTTTGGGTAAATTTCGGCAGTATATTGAGAAAATTCTTGATTATTTAACGAAAAAATATCATCAAGATAACGGTAAGTGTTGTTGAATTTATCAATTAAATGCAATTTAGACGGGGCTTTACTGAGTTTAGTCATAAACTGTGATTCATAACAGTACAAAAACAAGTCTGCTATCAAAGGGGCGCAACCATGTTTTACAGAAACAAGTTGATCACATTAATGGACTCATTTTGCTCTCTCAGTTTTTTTGGACATAAAATTAATTAATTGTGACATTGTCCAATTTTATTCTGGTACATTATAGCTCGGGTAGATTATGCCATTTCACCTGTCCACAGTTGGTTTGACCATGCCTAAATAGAGCCTTTATTTTTCAGAATTAATTCATAATAAAGAGCTGCGCCATGAGCACATGATACGCCTGTCGCCTTTTAGCTTGTCTTTATGATTTAATAAATCTATATGATCAACTAGACATACTGTGAACATTGCTCAAATAGACCCCCACCCCCAATAATAAAAAAATAAATAAAAGACATGCTCACACATTGGTACCAATTGACAGAAAATAAAATTATGAATAAAATCCCATAACTCGAAAAGGTAAAATCTAAAATTTATAAGAATGAAAAGGGAGCTTAGTTCAATAGAAATAAACAATTCATCAAAGTTTCATGTAAATCAGTGAAAGCGTTTTTGAGTGATTGTCCGAAAACTGGAAAATCCCCCCTTTTTATTGAATAACGTTCCAATAATTTAGTAAAACCAAAAGGGAGCTTACATCAACAGATATAAACAATTCACCAAATGTCATGAAAAATGGTAAAGGGTTTTTAGTTATTGTCTGAAGTGTTGATGGCGGACAGACTGACAACAGTGTACCATAATACGTCCCGTCTTCAAAGATGGGCGTATAAAAAGTTAACATAGCAATTGCCTGGATGTGTATAGGAAAACTTTGTGTGTGCAAGTTTCGTTTGTCTTTTCAATGTTTTTTTGCCATAGTGTTTTCCGTATGTTTTTAGGCTTAAAAACTTTTTCTCATCACTACACATTCTCTATATGTCTTTCCCCAAGTCATAACTCAGGAGTCTGTGATTTAGTGGTTGTTGTTGGTTGCAGTCTGTCATATTTGTTTATTGTTTTATCAGAAATCAGACCATTGGTTTTCTTGTTTGAATTGATTTACATTTTTTCATGTCTGGGCCTTTTATAGCCTACCATACATTATGTGTTTTGCTCATTGTTGTAGGCCATACTGTGCCCTAAAGTTGTTTACATCCAAGATTGCTACACTTTACGCAAATGTCCACCCCCCTACTCCCTAGTATAAATGAGGAATTAATATGTGTGTCACAATGAGTCATTGTGGGAAGATATTCAAAATATGGTAAAAGTCCCTTAAATCCCATAAAACGGTCAAATCAAGATGGTGGTACAATATGGTCAACTTAACACATGATGGCTAACAATCCTACATGTACCAAGTACTAGACCTTTCTGTCAAATGGTCTCTGAGGAGTTGCATTTACAAGGTTACACTATTACAATACTCCAAAAGATAGTCAAAGTCACATACTTCATTAAAATGGTTGTATAAAAATAACAGTATAATATGGGCAACTACACATGATGGCATCCAATCCTACCAAATATGAGAGGTTTCTGTAAAACATTCTCAGAGAAGTTGTGTTCATAAGGCGCTATTGTGTCCAAAAATTTAAAAATGTTTGGATTCAAAATGACCAACTACACATGATGGCAAACAATCCTACCAAATATTTGGGCTTTTTGTGAAACATTCTCTGAGTATTGACATGATTGATGTGTTTCTGACAGATGGACGGACATATACCATAATCATATCCCCCCGCAGCACAACACGCAAGGGACAATTAGTCTATGGTAGAATGTTATTGCTGTAACATTCCTTTCTTTTGTATTGGGTTTTGTAAACTGTAGGGATTTTATGTCATAATTAATACACCATATTTTTATTTTCCATTACAAGAAAACCAAATTTGTTTTCAAATTTATATTTTATTAAATATAATGTCATTTTCAATATATATGTATATATATCAGCAAAACATTAACAAGATATCTTGTAAAGTAATCAACATAATTAAATATTTCCATCAAAGTTTAAATCAACTTGTGAAATTTACAGTAAAACATAATAAACAAGACATGTATGAAAATATCTCTCCAAAAATTGGAAGTTATAATGTTTCTTTTGAAGTAAGGGCTGCTTCATAATTAATTGTGTGTATGTGAGTGTGGGAGGGGGTGTTACAGAGTACAGAGGGGCTGTAATTAAAATTTCATGGGTGGTTGCACTTTTTGAACGCATTTTTTAGAGTCAAATAAAACTTCTAAAATTACATTTGGGGCAGCAGGGGTGACAGAAGTGCCTCTAACACCACTATTTTGTTCTGGAACAGCCCTAAACAAAGACAACCTGGAATAGTTTTTTAAATTGAAATTTTACAATGTTTCAAAAACTATTTCATCATCAATTGGTCGGAATTGCAAAAATAGTGGAATTTGTTTTCAAAATCTTGAAAAGATAACAAATTGTAGATTTGTATATTTACACACACACATACACAATGAGTCACATTACAAATTTAACTGCAGATTCAGGAAGTTTTCACCTTTTTACACATCAACAATACCAAATCATGGAAAGAATATCATCAGGTAGGTTGTTGGGTGTGTGTGTAGGGGGGGGGGGGGGGGGGTAATTTCAGTACAAATTTATATTGAAAATATGAGACAATTTACAAAACTAATATCACCTAGTATGTAGAAAAACAAAACTACAATGTAACAATGTAACAATGTAAAAACTAATAAATAACTAAAACAAAGGACTAGATGTACAAACAATAGGCAACTGTCAATTCATCATAAAATGTTGTATATCAATTTTCACTGATTTAATAGGTACATAAGCTGTATTTAGGTTAATGTAAATTAACACCGCGTTTTAGTTTCTGCCATAATTTTATAATTGCCTGATATTAAGCAGGATGGCATTTCCTGTCAATATTTTGTTCATCTGCCAACAAGATTAAACAGAATCAAGGTTTATAAGAATTTAAATCATGAAAATTGATATGCATAAATTAAGTTGAATCCTCAATACATCTTTCCATAAATTATTCTTTGTTGAATATTCCGTCTCAGAGGTTCAAAATGTTTCCTTCTGCTTTTCTTGTAATACAATCACTGGTGTTAAATATTTTATTCGGTCATATATAGTAGACCAAATTTGATAAAAAGAACTGTAAACACATCATTGTTCAGAGATATTTCTGGTTTAGATGGGCCATGAAAATTTTAGTGTTCCCCAAAATACAAATTTTATATAGACTTGAATGTAGAATTTAAAAAAAACTATGGAATAAGTTGACATGCAAATACAATTTTTCCTTATTCCAATAAAATTGGTAGAGTTGGTGATACAAAATTTATGAATGCATAGTATTTTAATCATTATAAAGACCTACATCCCACCATTCCTAATTAGTACAATTATTTTCAACCTCTTACATTCAACAAAGACCTAATTTAAGGAAGGCCTCAACATCATAACTATTATTTGTAAAAGATGTATACCCACAGATAAATTGTATCACAGATCGCATTTTTACATAGTTAAACAATATCATTCAATTTTTAACACATAACACAGAAATTAAGAATTATGGAAGCAAACTTTAGGAATCTGATTATGGAAGAAACAGGGAAAACCTAGCAAAGATGGAATCAAAGCATATTTACAAGTTGGTATATTCGAGACAGCAGATGAGTATTACATGTACAAGAATGTCTTCTTTACACTGAAAAGTTAAACTTATAGATGATATGGTCACCTTTCATTGATAAAATATGCAAGTTCTCTAAGAAAATTCTACGAGGATTGTAAAGTAATACATTTTCAAATAAAAGTAAACATCATTCTTATGTGAAAATGTTGTATTTTGTAATCCATACTGCCTTATGAAGAAGGGGTATAAGAGGTGGTCTCATCCAAAAGAGGTGGTCTCATCCAAAAGAGGTGGTCTCATCCAAAAGAGGTGGTCTCATCCAAAGAAAATAAATGCCCAATCTAGAATTCTTGTGAAAATAATGTGTCTTCCTGCATCACCATACAATTACATACTGAATTCCAGATTTCCTGACGATTTAACTGGCTTTTTCCCAATTCCCACAAAATGGCTCAATCCTGAATTTCCAAAAAAAGGTCAGTGCAACCATCACCTTATGAACATAAAGTCTTGCATATTTTCATTAAGCCTTTTGTGTATGTCACCATGTTGCTAGATTTTATGTAATCACCTCGTCATGTTTCTTCACAGGGAAATATGTGCATTTGAAGAGTGAACGAAACAAAAATTTCAAATGCAACATATATCTGTTCTTACTTAATGTAACAGAACTGACAAACAATTGTAATTAGTGCAACATATATATAAATTGTAGTACAGCCAATTTCTCTGTTAAAAACGGGTGCAGAACTTCTAAAGAAAACAAAACGCTTTCAAGTCAAGCTCAATGTGCAGCCTTAGGTGTTGGAATTAACAATGCAAGAATTACAGACAAAATAATTTTTAAAACAATAAAAAAAAAATCAATTACATTAAAAAAAATATGAAAATAATACAAAAATTACAATAACTAATTACTTTTTACAAAGTAACCTTTGTCATACAAAATACTATCTAGCACTTATAGAAGTAATGGAGTTGACACTTAAAGAACATATACAAAATGCTGCATATCACAAAGTAACAGCAAAGACTCATACAATGTAACAATAACAGAAAAGACTGATAAAATGTAACAGTACAGAAAATACAAATACATCATGATGCATTGTGGTTATATTAGAGAATTGACCACATGAGAGTATTTTTGCATTGCTTTTCTCATATGACAAAATGACTCATAATGATAATTTACATACAGCAATTATTATATTAGACATTATCTTCATATGAATAAAAGTTACTTGAAAAGTTGCAACCATAAGATTCAATCGATAATTACTTCTCTATAAGCATACCTTTAGCAGGTTAAAAAACAACTTTTCTGCAATTTAAAATATAAACTGCCAAATAATTAAGAACCACTATTAATCTTATGATCACAAATTCTTATCATGATTAAAATGAAGAACATCTCTCACTTTCAACAGGTACAAACTATGCTGTTTTATGTTTTTGTGTAGTTAAACTTAAATATAAAAATATTCAATTTTTACAAATTTCTTTGGACATATATTTGATTCCGCAAGCTACCAAATAATCCAGAAGTATTTATTAAATGCATGTCTATAACTTAAATTGTATGAATTGTTACATTGATGAGCAGGGTTCAGCACAACAGCAGTAATTCTTCAACTTGTTTGGCAAGAGTTATCTCCCTTTATCTTGGTACAGCAAATCCAGTGATGGTTATGTCCCCTTGTCTATATGCTGGGATTGTGGGAACATTTTTCTTTGATTTTGATTTCCTTTTAGGAGTACTTGCATTGGAAGAATCTATAAAATAAAAAAACAGTAATATAAATTTCTGCTTTAAAATTATAAATGTGCTTCATATTTTCTTGAAGTACTATGAATAAACATAGATTTGATTTTTTGATTTTTGGTGTTTTAACGCCACTTATAAGCACCGCTTTTGGGCTATTTCGTGGCGGCCAGTTTTTATTGGTCGAGTGCACCCGCAGGAAGCGGGGTTCGAACTCACAACCTCAGTGTTGACTGGCTAGTGATTACAGTAGTAACTACTTAAGACCACTCGGCCACCAAGGCCCCTAAATAAACATAGAAGATATCATTGAACATATTCCTTTTTTTTGTAACTATAGAATAAAAATCTTCAAAGAGTTGATTCAATGCAGGAAATTATATACAAATAACACTTTATAAATTTGGTGCAGCAGAACAGCTTTTCTGGATTTTAATACCTTTACAATAAACTCATTATAGATACCAGGATTAAATTTTTTACATCAGACACGACTTTCCTCTTCAAATGTTCAAAAGACAAATCAGTGACCTTTGAATTCAAAAAGCTCGATCCCAAACATTTGAAATTTTAAAAAACATTTGAAAGCCAATGATGTATATTTATTGAAAGGTGATTGCTTTATGCTGCATCAGCACAAAACGGCTATATTGCGGCAATCCTAGAATGTATAAATACCTGAATATATGAGAAGCTATATGACAAAAAGGGACATAAAAAGTATAGCCAAAATCATCATATTTAAATTTGATAATAAAAAGATGGAGAGAGAATGTTTACATATTATTTGCTTTCAAGATATGGTGATCATACTTCTACTGTACAGATGTCAAAATGTTGTATCTATGATAGACATGTCATTGAGTGGTTTACAGTTCAATAAAATGTGTATGGTGTAATGGGGAATATTCAATAGTATATGGTGTAATTGGGATTGGTGTACTGTGTATTAAATGGGGAATACTCAATAGTATATGGTGTAATTGGGATTGGTGTACTGTGTAATGGGGAATACTCAATAGTATATGGTGTAATTGGGATTGGTGTACTGTGTATTAAATGGGGAACAGTGTATGGATGTTAAACCTTTGCTATCAGTTTTTATGCCCCCGCCGTAGTGAAGGGCATTAAGTTTTACCCTTGTCCTTCTGTACGTATGTCCCAAAATAACCAAATGTTATGAAACTTATACACAATGCTTATTACCACAAAACACAGATCAAGTTTGAATATTGGTGGCGTCACTTTTACCGTTCTAGAGTTATGTCCCTTTACAAATGGAAAAAATTGCTGAATTTTTCATTTCCGTTCTCTAACTTTGGTTTGCCTCAACCAAATGTTATGAAACTTATACACAATGCTTATTACCACAAAACACAGATCAAGTTTGAATATTGGTGGCGTCACTTTTACCGTTCTAGAGTTATGTCCCTTTACAAATGGAAAAAATTGCTGAATTTTTCATTTCCGTTCTCTAACTTTGGTTTGCCTCAACCAAATGTTATGAAACTTATACACAATGCTTATTACCACAAAACACAGATCAAGTTTGAATTTTGGTGGCGTCAATTTTACCATTCTAGAGTTATGCCCCTTTACAAATGGAAAAATTGCTGAATTTTTCGTTTCCATTCTCTTATTTTTTTAAGCATTAAACTACTCCATAGTAAGACAAATAATATATTTATAACAATGATGATTATGACAATGACTGAAATTATTAGAACCTTCCATCCCTGTTCTCCTACTTGACAGCTTACCTCTGTATCCCTGTCTCTTCGTTTTGTTTCTGTACCCTACAGGTGATACCAGGTCTCTATCTCCTAGTAACAGAAAAATGGCAACATTATAAAAAATCAAAGAGTTTTATCAATTCCATCATTTTTCACACATTTTTCAGATTACCTAATAAATCTAAAACCAGGATAAATTTAATTAAAAGAAAGTTGTGTCCTATTTAATGAAATTTATTTTAACATTTAATGTTGGTTAAGAATAAGGGTTTAATCTTTATGCTGAAGAATTCACACTTGTCTTTCAGATTAAAACAACTGCCTAAAAACATCTAATTAAGTATTTAGTATTCTTATTTAAGTGGGAAAAAAATATTTGTCCTTGATTGAATTGGGGGAAAAAAGTGAATAATTTGTATGTCAAAGTCCAACATCCACAACTACACAATAAATTGACTAAAGCCAAAAGTGCAAATACAATAAACTATCACCCTCTACCCAGTACTTATAAACTATGCACCAATCAAAACATTGTGTTGCATAACTAAATAACCCATATTTTTTTCTAAATTCTAATTATTGAAAGACACATAAGAAGGTTGGTACTATTACAACTTATTCTATCATAAAAAAAATTATATGAATTTAAAATTCAAACATATTTATTTTATTTATTAACAAATTCCCTTTTCTGAAATTATAAGTATTGGCATGAGGAAAAATGATGTTAAAACTAGATTCTTCCAACAACAATTTTTTTGAAAACAAATAACACCAAGTGATTATCTGCCCTTACTAAGTGATCACTGGCAACAATCCATGTTCTCCTTTGTGAAAGTGCTTTACATGTGTCTGTCATCTATAGCTAACTTCTAAACTCTGATCTCACCTTCAGTTGACTTTGCCAACTCTGGAAATAACCCCTTACATGCTGGGGTCAGGGTAGGATGTCCCCATTGTTCAATATCTGAACTTTGGCCTATTATCAAAGTTGTAAAATTTACAATTCTTCCAGTGACACATTAATAATTTGCAAAAACTAGGCTAAACAAAGTTAATCATTTACAATACCATCTATAATAGTAATAAATATGCAGCCTCTTAACCATGTTATCATTTGTTTTAATGGGTAAAACAACTTGCATCTTATTCTGAATGTATTACATTGTAGATCCAAATTTATTTACAAGTACAGAGTACGAAACATCATATACAATCACAAAAATTATCTAGCCGTCATAGATTCTATGCAAAGATGAACTTTAGCACCTTTAGAACATCTTCAGACTCCAAAATTTAAAATCTGAATAAAACTGTTTATTTGAAGTTTCATTTTTAGTGAATCAACAAAGACACGACAAAAAATATAGTACTAAAATTATCTATATTCCATCCTTAATGTGTTTATCAAGACAGGAAAGTAAAGATGTTTGAAACTGTACTCAATCAATATATAATAATTTATCTATGTATTACATTAGAAAATAATAAGATTTGTTTTGGCTAGTATACCCAAGGCTTAACCAGAATAATGCTTAAAATTCTCTCAGTTTCCAATTTCAATAAATTACATACCTGTGCGTGCAGTATTAACATTGCTTTTCTCACTCAGTCGTCTTGACCGTCCAAACTGTAAATAAAATTCTTCATATTAGGATGAAGTCTAAAATCTAGTTTCAATTTAGTTTATTTAATCTTATAATAATTGTTTTGTAAGATACTTGTTAGTATTTCTTTCTATATGATACAATTTAGTGTACAGCAGACTGTGTAGGGAGAATGCCACACTCTATGCACATGAAACAATCCTTGCATCAACCCAGTTAGGAGTCTGTAGGTGACCTGTTGCAAGGCAACATTTTTGTCCCTATTCAACATATTCTCTTTTTATCAGTGGAAATGTTGGACCTGGAGGGGTTTCATTATCTTTCATGTTGACTGGTACCTTCCTCGTTTGTAGGTGGTACTTTTCAATTTATTCAATGAATACCTTATATAAAAATTCCTACATTTAGGCGGCACTTGTCAATAGCATAGGAGGGTAAAAGTCCCAGGTACCGCCTCCTAATGAATGGCCTGGGCCACTCACCGTCACCTGGGTATTCAGAAAACAACAATCCCTCAACCAATTCAGCCTACTGCACAAAACAACAATCATGGGTAGTCAAGTACATTCAAACACCCCCTTAGTAGTAATAGTAATGGGTAGTCAAGTACATTCAAACACACCCTTAGTAGTAATAGTAATGGGTAGTCAAGTACATTCAAACACACCCTTAGTAGTAATAGTAATGTGTAGTCAAGGACATTCAAACACCCCCTTAGTAGTAATAGTAATGGGTAGTCAAGTACATTCAAACACACAACACACCCTTAGTAGTAATAGTAATGGGTAGTCAAGGACATTCAAACACCCCCTTAGTAGTAATAGTAATGGGTAGTCAAGTACATTCAAACACACCCTTAGTAGTAATAGTAATGGGTAGTCAAGGACATTCAAACACCCCCTTAGTAGTAATAGTAATGGGTAGTCAAGGACATTCAAACACCCCCTTAGTTGTAATAGTAATGGGTAGTCAAGGACATTCAAACACACCCTTAGTAGTAATAGTAATGGGTAGTCAAGGACATTCAAACACACCCTTAGTAGTAATAGTAATGGGTAGTCAAGTACATTCAAACACACAACACACCCTTAGTAGTAATAGTAATGGGTAGTCAAGGACATTCAAACACCCCCTTAGTAGTAATAGTAATGGGTAGTCAAGGACATTCAAACACACCCTTAGTAGTAATAGTAATGGGTAGTCAAGGACATTCAAACACACCCTTAGTAGTAATAGTAATGGGTAGTCAAGGACATTCAAACACCCCCTTAGTAGTAATAGTAATGTGTAGTCAAGTACATTCAAACACACCCTTAGTAGTAATAGTAATACCAGGCATCTAGAAATAAAGTTGGTTTTAACTGGAATGAATTCCTGACATTGTTTCTACTCTATCAATAAATCCTTCTTTAAATAAATTATGCATATTAAAGTTAAAAAAACTGAAATTTAAACAAAAAATACTGGATGTATGCAAATTGAGAATAATGAAATAATGCTTGATTTTATTAATGTTCAGAATGGATTCAAATGCATACAAAATTAGAGAAATAATTCATAATCATTTTAACCAAAAAAATCAGTATACAATAAATCTATATATCTGTACCTGCTGTGAGTACCCCAGTTCATTTCCGCGGGTTCTTCTGTTTTTCTTTAGATCAGCCTCTCTCTGAAGTGAATTCTTCTGACCTTGTCTAATAGGTGGAAGTGTACTATCAGAAAAAGAACTATTTTTAGTACCATGTGATAAGTTGTCATCACTTGGATCTTTAATCATTGGTAAAGTTGTTTCTGTGTATTTCTTGTTATGTTTAGCTAACATATTTTGAGATAAATAACCATCGTTCGTTAAGTCTTTTTCACTGTTAGGTCTATATAATGACTTTGTGTCACCATATTTTTGTTCAATAATCGTCCTTTTTTTGGCTGCCAAAGCAGCAATGTTTCTAGTACCAGTTGCAATAACAGTCCTATCTGTTTTTTCTCCAGGGGTAATTCTAGGAGTTGGTGATAGAGAACGGTCTTCAGGACCACTCATATTGGAATTATTTCTCCAAATTCCAGATAAAGTTCCTTCTTTTATCCTTCTTGCCTGAGCACTCTGTGAGAAGAGCTTGTCATCACTTTTTGCACTGAAAAGAAAAGAAAAGTACAGTAAGTGTTGCATTGTCTGTGTTATGTGAAGATTGAGAGACAAAACAAATTGTAAAAGGCTTTTTTTTTATCATCTATTTTCCATTTGTTAATTAACTAGATATTCCAATAATCCTTGGTAAATTCATTCAAAATTTGTCCAGACTTGAAGAGATTTATAGCTTGAATAAGTAGTATTCTGTTTGGAGAAGACCTCATTTATTAAAAACTTGTGTTCAAAATCAAAAGTCACAATACATATTTGTATAAACAAACATGGGAATCAAACATTAAATAAGATCTTTGTCTATCATGACCATATATTGACCTCTTAAAGTAATTTTGGATTTGTTTTATTGTTGGGTGCTGTGTCATAGATATTTATTCACCAACTTATCTTAATTATATGTACCCGACACCACCTTTAAATATTACCATAGAATTGGAAAGTGAAAGTTTCACAGAACAAATATCCACAGCATTTAATAGACAAACAGTAGCATTGTTTTCCTTTTATTTTAAAAGAATTTCTCCTTTTCTGACTTCTTTTCTACTAAAGTACAAATATAATTTGTTTCACAATTACCAGTCAGCATTTAGTAGACTAACAGATTTATACATCAGATTTTCTTTTTATATTCATACTAACCTTTTCTTTCCTCTTCTCTGATCCTCCTCTTCTGTTAAAGCACTCATATGATCTGTCTCTCCATCACCATACAGTCGTGTACTAGCCACTGAGGGTACCTAGATTAAGTAGTGATATACTACATATACAATAATGTTCAACTATACACTTGATCTTTTTAAAGTGTTAATTTGATAATTTAAAAATCATTCTCCTCAATAAAAGGAGGAAAAAAAATTTCATACACATTTTTTCTTCTTCTAAAAATTGCAATTTTCACAGATGATTTTCTATATTCTTTCACATCTTTCATCTCAATGGTCAGCAATTCTCAAGTTATAATGGGTTTTACAAAAATGTTATTTTTGTCAGCATATTAACTTTCCTTTATTAAAAATTAACAAGAATGTGTCCATAGTACACGGATGCCCCACTCGCACTATCATTTTCTATGTTCAGTGGACCGTGAAATTAGGGTCAAAACTCTAATTTGGCATTATAATTAGAAAGAACATATCATAGGGAACATGTGTAATAAGTTTCAAGTTGATTGGACTTCAACTTCCTTTAAAAACTACCTTGACCAAAAACTTTAACCAGAAGCGAGACGGATGGACGAACAAGCAGACAGACGGACGAATAAACGAACAAAAGAACGGATGAACGGACGCACAGACCGAAAAACATAATGCCTCTCTACTATCATAGGTGGGGCATAAAAAGTCTATAAACCTTAATCTTTCTTTAATATTTGCGGCTGAACAAAAAATAAAACAGCAATCAATCAATAACTACTAGAAATCATCTTACCTTGCTTCTGTATTCTGGAGTCAAATTCAACAGCGTCTCCTCACTGAACAACATACGATCTTCTTTCTCTAACTTATATAATTCCATCAGTTCTTCTAAATCTCTTGTCAATGGTATATTGTTCTCTGTAGCAGAAAAAAAAATTTGTATAATCAGAACTTTTAGAGAGGGTTTTTTTTTCAAATTCTATTTTACAATTAAGATAAAATCATAAAAATGTTTCCTCACGAAAATTTGATCTTTTGAGGAAGATTAGAATTTAAAAGAAGAAAATCAATAATACCTAACTATAGAAATTGTTATATTTAAAAAATTTAAAACCAAAATAAGCAACTTAACAGTATATCAGACTGATATCAGATGTCTTCTTTTACACAATTAGAGAGTTCTGAAATTTTCAAAGTCTGGTTTCTCTTAAATATTTTTCAAAGAATTCTGAACTTTTAAAAGTCTGTTTCCTCTGAAACATTGTTCGTAGTGCTTAGCCCTCATTCATTTCTGATCATATCTTTTAAAATCGCCTTTCCACCATAAATACGAGTTTTTCAAACAAGTACATCTCAATGACAAAAGCAGAGAATTTCCCATAAAATTCATGTGTTACACATCTACTGTCTGCTTAAAGCCATTCTCTCATGAAAATGATACTTTCATTTTAGCAAAATATGCATCAGATGTCTAACGCACCTGTTTATCAACAAATAAATTAATCTATTACAATTCAAAGCTATACCTTCTAATAAAATTTTCTGTTTCCTTATGATTTCATCACAGAGAGTTCTGTGTTGACGAAACCTTACAATAACCATATCTTTCTTCTTGATTTGGAAGTCCCTGATCAGACAGGCAGACTGTCCTTCTGTATTTTCTATTTCCAGTTCATGTACCTTACACATCAACATAACGATCTCTGTCTGGTCTTCGTCGCTGATTCTCTGAGGTACAGTCTGTCGATAAATTAAGGAAAATATTAACAAATATATCAATGTTTTCATTATTACAAGCCAATAACAGACATTTTCAATGCAAAAGTGATCGGATTTTCTGAAAACTACTGTAGAAATTACTATGAATAAAAGGAGATATGGGATATACTATAAATGCAGAAACTATTGCAAGGTTTTTATTATTGCAAATAATGCAATTGGGTGATAATCACAATAATAAGAACTCGCATTCTGATCTCTGATACATATAAGTGTTCGCAGATTTTCCTGAAATCGCAATAATTAGAACTCGCATTTTTTGTTCTTTCTTCAAAAATTGCAATAAATGCACGCAATAATTTCTGAATTTACAGTATATCAATCAGACAGCAACCCAATGGCACAAACAACTAAAAGTTTGGTTATCTTTATAAAACAATGTTTCTCTTCACTTCATCTTTTTTATGTGTATCCATAGTTATTTTTTAATTTTTTTTAAAGACTAAACATTGACCTATAATGGTTTACTTTTATAAATTGTAACTTGGATGGAGAGTTGTCTTATTGGCACTCATACCACATCTTCCTATATCTATAAACATACCTTGATATATATAAAGCAATGATTCTGCATGGAAGCTGTTGTTTTTATGGTAAAATGTTAAAAATGTTAAATTTCATTACAAAAAAGCCCCAACTCTTCCATAAAGGAAAACAATTCAGAATGTCATGAAACTGTGCCAAGGGAAATAACTGCTACTAACCTCTTCTAGTTTTCTTGTTTTTGATTTAGCCTGTTCAAGTTCTTTATACACTGTGCTTCTGATTTTCTCTGTTCTGTATTTTTCATCATGCAAAACTTTGATCTCATCCCTTGCAATTTTAACTTCCTCTGGCTCAACTATCTCATCTGATCCTATACCAGCCAGTTCCATAGATTTAGACATTTGTCCTGGAATAATCAAAGTGGTTTTAGCCTAGAGCAATTCTTTAAATTTTTAAATTAAAATCAATGTAACTACTTATTTATCGGCTTATAATATCTTCCTCACAACTTCATTTCACTTAAGATTGAAAAAATTTGAAATTGTTTTTAAGATACAAAGTTTGATCTTGTTTTTTAGTTATAAACAAAATTCAGATTAATGTTTGTAACATGGTAATATTCCAGTTCTTCTTATGGGCTATTTGATTAAAATGTTTGGGAGAGGGGGGAAATGGATTCTTATCCACCCCCTCAACTAACGTACTTTCTCGAAATGACTTTGCATGCATCAAATGGACATACAAACACAAATGACCCACAACCAATGTCAAAGTTCACTTTCTACTATTCCACATTCATTTTTATAGAATAGTTCTAATGTTGGTTGAACTGACAAAAATATGGGGAAAAAATCTACATAAGTTGCTAAATTACATTTTTTCTATCATTTCTTGATTTAAAATTTCACAGCAATTCATAACCTTCTTTAGGTTTTTTCTTTAAAATCAAATAACAAGGTCAAGCATAATGTATCCCCCTCCACCCCCCCCCACCCCCTCCCCCTCCCCCTCCCCTTCCCCTTTTAAATTCCTATAATAAACAAACCTGCCATATCACCACCTTCTTTCCGTAATGATGACTTTGCTCTCTCTGCTTGCCATCTAAAATACAATAAATCTAATAATCACAAAAGGTCCTACTCCTGCCCCACAATACTATTATCACATATTGCAATTTTGAAGTAAATAAGTGGTTTCTGTTATCTCCCCTTTAACATAAGGGACTGATATTATTTTCCTTTAAGGCATATCATCAGGTAGTTTTCTACAATTTTATAAAGTTCCATCAATATCCATCAAGCCAGTTATGAGGATTTGCGCTTACAAGGCACATGGACAGACAGAGGTTAAGATGGTTAGGGTGAGACCTTTACACCCCAAAACTGTGTAAGGGGGTATAATAATATTTTGAAGTTTTAGATTTTCCCAGTACTCTGATTCAGTTTAAACTAAATAATGCAATGCCTGACAATATTTTTTCCAAACCTTTGCAATTTCATATTAACACTGAATTAAGGTGCATAACTTTATAATTATGAAGTTATGATATTCTAACCTTAAAAAACTTTTTAAAAAGATGACCTGTAACCCTTTGCTAGCAAAATTTATTCAATTTACAGTACAGTAAATATTCAATTTAGTAAAATATTTTCCACAAAACCTATGTCAAAAGATTTCTATGTGTACAGGACACTAATGACCTGGACGCAAATTGACCTTCAGGAACAGATAAATCCACTCACTCAGTAATGATCATCTGATTACGATTTGTCTCCAAGCTAATCTCCATAGTGGCATTGTTCAGTTCCATCAAACTTTTCCTATAATAGTAAATATCACAAGTCATTATAAATACAGCGCCTTGCTTAGTACTATAACAATCGTTAGAATTTTCTATACATTCATTGTTAAAAATGTTCTTTCTGAAAGCTGAGAGTGTTAAGGCAGTACAATTACAAAAAGTTCTTTTTTTTATTTTTCTGTCTATACAAAGCCTTTTTTTTACATTTGTCATTTCGGGGCCCTTTATAACTGGCTATGTGGTATGGTTTTGCTCATTGTTGAAGGCCATATGGTGACCTATAGTTGTTAGCCTCTATGTCATTCTATCTCTGGTGGAAAGTTGTCTCCTTTACAACCATACCACAAATTCTTATTTTTATATTTGCTGAACAATGGTAGTTTTAACAGCATTATGTTATTTTTGTGATATTGTTGACCATATAAAATCACTAGATGTATGGTTAGTTAAATTGAACGATTATTGGTTGCTTAAGATCACATCACTATGGTGATAGAAAGCTGATTATAAAACCAACAGCTAAAAATATTGACCTTGTCTGTATTTCTATATGTGGTTGCAAGATTTACAACAAAAGGTTTTTGTATAATTTGTTGAGGATTTACAAGTACTGTGGATTCATTATTACTTATTGGATACTAATTTGTGATGATTTTGTGGGTACAGGTGACCCACCAATTCAAATGTTCCACGAAATACAAATTTTCTATAAGTGTGTATGCTGACTTTTGTAAAACCACGAAATCAAATATCCACAAAAATACTATCTTTCCTCACTCCATAAAAATTGAAACCCATAAAAATAAATGGATGCACAGTAGTCCTTATTCATGACAACATTATGGAAAGCAAGATCAACCATTATTATTTACACAGTGAAGCCTTATTACCTCAATTCCATTTGATCTTTAAATGATATTAAAAGTTGTTCCTTCAGTTTGTTTAGTTCTTCTTTGTCTAAGTTTCTCTTTGCTTCTAATACTTGTGCTGTGAAGAAAAACAGGATTTATCATAAATATTTAGATTTACACTGGATCCATATAAAATGTCATAGATATGCATATGTATGTACAAATTGATAAAGACATTAATTTATTCCTTCAGTAATTTAACTGCAGTAATGACAAATTTAAATGCGGGAATATTGAGTAAGTTAAAATGAAGATGCTCCTTTCTTTTTGTAATTTAGGTCAGTCTCCGGCATGAGGCTTGTTGTCCTGAAGGGACGATATATATTAACTGTTTGCAATTTAAAAATACTCCAATATTTCTGTTAAATACACAAAAGTTCAAGGGGATTTGGTTCTTTCCACTGCTTCATAGCATAGCGGTCAAATTAACAAATTAAAATTTTTTTAATATAATAACAAATGTATAATTGTGGTAAAATTTGTTGTTGGATACCATCCCGAAACCAACTTAAAACAAATTTCGAAATAAAAATTGCTAGTGGTCACTATATGTTTGTACCTTGTACAGCCTGTATAGAAGATCCTCCATGGAGGCTGACAGAAGTGGTCTTATCATTCAGTTTAACTCTCAGTCGTTGAATCTCCTCCCGTAATTCCTGGATAATGTTTGTGTACTGGGCTATATGATATGATACGTCAGTCACATTTCTTCTGACCTGTAAGGTAAACAAACATAAATAGAATGTTGCATTTTCTTTCTCATTTCAATTATTTAAATGTACAGTTATAAGATTACTAATGATACGCCCATACAAGTCAAACATTTAGAAGTAAAATTAAAGATTCTGAAACAGGTACCAACCTATAGGTGAGATCTAGTGTCTAGTTTAAAAATATTCTAGTAAGTCTATAATAAAAGCAATGGAGTTTCAGTTTTGTATCATTTGATTACATAATCAGCTGTCAGATTATAACTTACTTCAAGAAAGCATAAAAAAAGATGTATTTTATTTTGTATGTGTGAGCTGCTACAAAACTTGATAGAACACAGATATGGTGCTGTTTCATTTTAAAGTTTTCTCAATTATAGCATAAAAATAACAACATTGATTTTCCACTTCAGTAATAATTCATTAAATTTTTGGAGTTATCTCCCATAGACAGTAAATTAAACTATAGTAAAATGTATCCAGACTTGAATATAATTCTTTACATATTGCAGACAATAAAAATGCAGGACCTCAATTTCAGCCCTGATCAGCTGAAAATATCAAAATTAATTTTACTATTGGTTCTGGTTTTATATTGAACGAGTTAACCATTGTTGGAAATTAATACTATTGATTATATATTGAAACTCAATATATAGTTGTTCATCTATCAGTTGAGGTGCTATTTAAAGAATGTTCTAATTTATTTCATATTGATTTTGTATTAAAATAACTGTTTTTCATACAATAAATATGATTCTGCTAGTTTAAATCCATATGTTGTTCTCTGTGTCTTTTGGTTCTTTGTTTCATTGGGTACTGTATCATTATGTATATCCCACATCTTCTTTTATTTATATCTCCATTATTTTTTCCCCCTGTGTCTAAATGTGTTTCTAGACTCCTTGGTCCATGCAGATCATAGATTAATGTATACTACTTGCCTTTGTCTTGATGTGTTTTGCTCGATCTGCATACACTAGTGTATTTCTAGACTCCTCAAACTGTGATGAGGCTGGACTAATATGGGCTATCATCACAGTTTTACAGTTTCCACCTAATGCATCTTTAAGTAGTCTCGTTAGTTTACTGTCTCTGTAGTTGATATACTTGTGTCCATTTTTATCACCTGCAATAGAAAAGAATACAATTTGGCAAATGCATATATACTGTAAACCAACATATTTTCGCTGATACTTTATTTTGTGTTTAACCATTTCTACCAGACTTCCCAGAGATTTATTTTCACTATTTCCTAATTTTTCTTGATGTATTTATGTAAGGGAAGATGGAAGTTTAACATATTCACGACGATATATATTCGCGTTATTTTTGAAATCGTGAAAGTCGCGAAAATTAGTTGGTCTACAGTATGTGAAGTCAAATTTGGAGACACAATAAAGAAGTTGCAGCTGATGAAGGAAACTTAATGAATATGATGAATTGACGATCGCAGTATACTACCTGCTTGATACATTTAGTATAATATCAAAATCTAATCTTAAGGAAATTTTGCAAAGAAAAGTCAGTGTATTGACATTCAGGAACAATTTTCTGTATTTTCATTTTCATTTTGCTTTTGCTGTATGGCCAAACATTTCCTTGCTATTCATCATGTTTTACATGAACATCTGTGATGTTCTTGAATGAATGACAGATTTAATAGCATGTATTTTTGGATAGGTTAGCTTTCATAAACTACTGATTCAGGAGACATCAATCTATTAGATTCCAACAAAACTTACTTAAAGCATTGATACAGTTCCCTAGAGCCAGTAGTGACCTGTTTATATGTGCACCCTCTACCATACGTTTCCCTCTATTGTGTGTGCTTGCCGCTCTTTCTGATCCAGCTAAATCAACCATAAACATTTTGCCGACTCGTACTTCTTGTACCGTATTCCGTACTCTATTCTGTTGTTTTACAATGACTTGGAGGACAGCATGAGATCTGGAAGAAGTTTTATTTGCAGCCGTAGGTTCCTGAGTTCTCTCTTTATTTCCTTGGAATAACATATCCATCACCTATAAGATAAAACCCATCAACGATAAAATAACCATGAAAATGTATTTTCTGCTGAACATTTATTTTGCAGTCAATCAAGCAATCCCAGGTAGTGCATATGTGGTTTTATCATGGCCAACAATCAGATTTGTTTTTATCTATATATGTTTCAATTATGTTCATAAAAATAGATGGCTGTAATAATATTTTGATAACTAAGTTTAATACATACATTCTTTCAACATCTTCCTGAGAAAAAATGTCAATCAAAACTTTTAGTCATGAAAAAAAATGAAAAATGGGAAAAACTTGCAATACCGGCTTGGTTTTCTCTGGCTTACCATCTGGATTCATAAATATTTATTGGTATTGATATTTGTGGATTAATTGAAAATTATTTTGTCATAATACTTGATTTTTGTAGTTTTGAAATTCTGCATATATTGGAGTTTTATATTTCATCATGTGCACACTACTATACCATGCCAACTTGTATAAGATATCTTAAAAGGATATCAAATCATTTTAATTGTTTAAGATTGCTTTTAAAAAGAAATTTACCTCATTCGTTGACCTTGTTGTGACCTCAGATAGACCTGCCACCTGAACACCACCCTTGGCATCTTCTCGAAGATCAAGGATACCTGATGATGGATTTAACAAGTCTCGAATCATTTCATTGTATATCTGAAATAGATAAAGAAAGTTCTTATAAAAGTCCTGACATTGTTCTTATTGTTTACAGACTAAAATATGTTAAGTGTTACAAGCTGTCCCTCCTTTCATTAAGAGCTAATAGATATAGGAAGATGTGGTATGAGTGCCAATGAGACAACTCTCCATCCAAGTTACAACTTGTAAAAGTAAACCATTATAGGTCAAGGTACGGCCTTCAACACAGAGCATTGGCTCACACCGAACAGCAAGCTATAAGACTGCTAAATTAAATGTAACCAAACAATAATTGATTGAAGATCCATAGCAGATATTTGATAGTCTCAGACTCTATAATTTATTCACATTTACACCCTTAGACCTTGCACCACTTATCTATTCCATAATAATTGATGGACGATTCATAGTAGCCAGGTCTTTGAAAGTTTATAAATCATTCACAACAACTTTTGCAGACTTGGACAATTTAGAACTTGACCTATTGTATAGACCCTCATCTATTGTTGAAGACTGCATTTGGCCCTCTACATGTATTTCGATTATTAGTGTTGTGTGGTTGCTGTCTCATTGACATATACCCTGCATCTCCTTTTTTTACACTGAATGAACACCCGGATCTGCTTTTGAATCTTAATTTTTCTGCAGCAAGACACATTAGTAAAAGCTGTATACTTCCTTTTAACCTATCAAATAGTATATGCATGTATTTAATAATGACAAGTTAGAGAATCTACCTACAGTAAAAGTATTACTTACAGGTAATTTATTCTTACTAACTATACTCTAGGGTATATCAAATAGTGATAATTAATATCATTATATAATTGGTTTTGTTAGATACTTATGATAGTTTACTCTTTTGGCACTAAGCTTATTTGCTGAGAGTTGTGAATTTCTATCAGAGTCATGGTTAACCACATATTACAATCCCTGTATCCTCCAGAGGGATTTAAATTGTATACTGCTAGATATAACTATTTGCTCTTAAACCATAGTGCAATTAAGTGCTTTTCCGACCATATAAGAATCAATTGCTGTCCAAACCATATCAGTTTTCAATCTCCAAGAAAATGAAGCTCATTTGTTATAGTTTTTTTTTCCTTTTTCAAAAAAGTTTAATTATAGTAGAAATGAACAAATTAGGATTCATCATTTTCTAATATATTGTATGAACCAAAATTTATAACTTATGGACATATTTATTCACCTAGAACAAAAAGAGATTTTAATCTTATAATGTAATATTTATATTAAGGAATCTCTTGAGAATTATTATAATATGACAAATGGAAATATTTATTGTCTACCTTTCAAATATTTCATATCTAATATCAATTTTCAAATAATTGTGTACTTTCTATTCCCTTTAGATTAAGTTATAATCTAGATCTAAATTCTTTGTTATTTGTCCAATATAAAAATAAGGAGATATGGTATGATTGCCAATGAGACAACTATTCAATGTTCTCTGGAGGAATCTTTCAAAATAAAGATATTTGAGATTATTTATTATTAACTTAATTTCTGCTATAAACAAATAATATAATGACTTTGAAAAAAAAGGCAAAAGATATCAAGGGGACATTCAAAAATTTTAAATAATTAACTCATAAGTCAAAGACAAACTGACAACACCATGGCAAAAAAAAATAAAAAACAAAAAAGACAAACAAGCCCACAAAACTCTACAAAGAAAACTAAAGACAGACAAAGAAAACATTGAACAAACTTTTTTGGATCAGCTAAATTGTAAAACTGAAATAACAAATTTATGAAGTCTGGGTAATAACTTTACATCATATCACAAGTGATCAGAGTTAGTTCCCTTGGGTACTTTCAAAATGTTTTCCACAAACATATTAATGGTAGTGCTCCAGTTTTAAGACACATGTAATTGGCTGTACTGATCAATAATCTCTACTATTATAACCATTCAGACCTAACAAAGATTCTATATCAATTAAAGGTTTATATTACACTAAATTAAATGCAGTATTTTTGTCAAACTGCACAATTAATGCCCTTTACTCTACTCACAAAAAAAAATGTTTTATTCCAATATTTGCTGTACCCTTCTATCATATAATAGCAGTGACTCTAATAATTTAAAAACTATTCATCAGATATGGTATAACTGCACTGATATATTTATTATATGCAATGGGCTTTTATTACATGCACAATGCCTGCCATTTAATTCAAATACAAACTGCAGACATTTCTTGCCAAATCTTCACATAGTCTGTATTCAGCCTAAGTGCTTTTAAATATGTTGTCAAATTAATTATTTCAGATCTAAGATATGAGACCACAGCAATCCCTCTTTTAATCAATCAGTTCTTATGGCAATTATCAAAAAATATTTCAAATTTATATCAAGAATAAAATTACTACATTCAGACAAATTATTTATTTGTTCTGATATGAAGGCCAAAAAAAATATATAAACCTCCACTTAAGATATATTTTCAACTCTGAACAACTTATTTATAAACTTACAAAGAACATATCAGAATTAAATATATAATAGCAGTATAATGTTATTTAATCATCATTTAATCTAACCACTTAAGATACGTCATGTTAAAACCTTATCAAACCAATTAATACTTAATACCTATATAAAATAAATTATACTCATACAAATGTAATTTGAAAAATGAATTATTGACTCACATGACGTGAAAGGATAATTCAATCAGCAGTTTTGACATTCAGATAAATTGTATATTGGCACTTGTATATGTTGACAAATATTTCTATCTTTAATATATGACTTCAATAAAAGCAATTAAGGATAGATTTTGACAGGTTTGAGATTTATTGTACAAGTAATATCACTTAGGTGAGGCTTTCTCTCTTTGTGTATGATTTTTCCACAAAATTCAGCATACAGGGAGCTATTTATACTTTTTGTTAATATAAAAGCCCTTTTTGAAATCTGTAACCCTCTAGTTAAAGGGCCAACTTAAATTTCAAACTCAAATATCTCTGCACTACTCAGGAATTATATTCCAAATCAAGAATTTGAAAGGATTCAAGATCATAGTGAATGTGTGAGGTTCAATAAACAATGTCATTGAATCATGGCACTAGTTAGCTGTGACCAGTGATTTTGGTACTTATTCTTCTTAAATGATTTCCAGAAGAAGAACAAAACTTGTATTATAATTAATACCAGTACTAAAAGAGCAGCCGTTTACCCTTGAGGGGGGGGGGCCTGACCTTTATCGGGACTCCGTGATTGGGTGTTTTTAAGCTGAGGATTTCTGGATTGATCCTTTCGGGATCTGGGAAATCTTTTTTAGAATTTCGGGATGTCAGGATTTAAATTTCTTTAAATTTGTGACCTCAGGATTTCATGTTTTTAAGCCCGGGATTAGGACTCCTCCGACCCCCCCCCCCCCCCCCCCCCCCCCCCTCACCCTTAACACTGACTGCACCATTTTTGAAACCTAAAAATTGAAAAAACTAAAATTGAATTTGCAGGGCCTTAAATTCCAAACCCACCTCATTTGTATTTCATCTGATTTTAATATTTGTTGAAATCTTTGTTTAGATTAAACTATTATTGCCTTATTTACATGTGTTCTATTGACTTTACACCTCACAGTTCTATTTCATTTTGTTTTTCTTTATCCAGTTTCAGGTTTAAAATTCCAAACAGAGAATTTCAATGATTTGAAATTATTGAAATCCTTTAATTTAAACGTAAGGTTAACAAACATTGAATAATCAAAGAGTGTTTGTACTTATAAGGCTGTTGTAATAATATTGTTCAATTCTAACAAATCTTTTTAAGCTTATAATATAAAATACCCTTGTTATTTTCATGGCAATAATATAAATACTATTGAGCCTCTATGAATAACATTTTACATGTTTATAAGAAACAGTACTTGGTAAAAGGTTAAAAATTAAGACCAGTATTTGGTAACATTCCCTAATACAGCCAGATAACAAGTAACAATTAAGTATGTAGTGCAATGAACATGTTTTCATACATTCATGTCCTGTAATTTCTTTCATCCAATAAGTCCATAAATTTTCTAAACATACTGTAAAATGAACAGACTACAGTTTTATGTTATGCCTGAAAATTTATAAATTGTAAAATGGTAAAGTGTAGAATTGCTAAATACTTTTATTCCTGTTTTTTTAGTCAGTGTGAAAAAAATCACGAACAAATATTTTGTTGTAGGATGTGCACATGCAGTTAAGTCTTAGCAATCTTATTATATCTTTTTTATATATATATCATAAAATCATAAGACAGATAATGCTAATTAAATAAAGAAAATGACTGAGTTAAGATAAGCTACATGTACATTCAAATAAACAATCAATTCTCAGATGGCATGCACTTAGAAATCATTTCTTTAGGTAGAAATGTCTAAAACTTGATTGTTCAGAACAAAACGCATGATAAAATTAAAAACTCAATTCTCTGGATTAGGTTCCAATTTTAAGAATATTATCCCTGACCCCAGCTGGGTATCATGTATATTTCAAAATGAGAATGACACTTGCACAATTATGACAATACCTTTAAATACTTGCATTACGAATAAAAAAAGAACCTATTGGTTAAATGTCAATGAGACAGCAACCCAACAACAACAGTTAATCAAAAATAACATGAGCTTGTACTCTGCCTCAATGATGGCCTTACTCAACTTTGAGCTGAAGAACAGCAATTAAAACCTGATCCTTTGCTTTTAGTTTTCTCAAGTGCATGTAGATTATTTATGTCATGAAACGAGGGTGGTAAAGGGTTATTTTCGTGCAACCTGTTTTGCCATTTTTATTTCATGTGCAGCCGTGAAAAAGGTTCATTATTCACTGTGTTTTGTGAAATCGGTAAAAACATCAATGTGCAAGAAATTTTTAATTGTTCCTTCATCGTGAAATTGCAATTTTATTTCGCGTTCTTCTGTGCAGATACCCCCCTTTACGCCCATCTGAAACAATTTCAATCATCTAGATGTTAACCACACCATACAACATTTGACAATTGAAAAGAGCCCTGACACGTTACTTAATATAAAGTTTATATAAAACATGAACTCTATAACTTGACATTATTATGATTTACATAAATTTTCGTTAGGTAAAGAAAAGTACTTTTAGAATTCCAATTAGAAATAATAACGTCTGTCCGTAATAAACAGTTTTTCATATAGCCTGAACTGAAAAAAGCATGGTCAAGGTCAAGGAAATGTTTTTAAGACTTCTTATATAACACATACATATAGTCAAAGTCTAACATGACCTAGTTCAACTTAATCTGCGGTTTTAAGGTGATACAAACTTTTTGTAATCGTGGAAAATTAAATGTCTCTATCTAAAGAATTTTTTGTTACAGTAGTAAAGTTTAAATATATTAAATTTCCTAATCGATACAAATATCACAAAAATCAAAAGTACAAAATTTAAATTTATAACATAAAACTTTGTTACAACCCTGTCAATAAAGAATGATCTTTTAAATAAGTGTCTATTTAATGTGTCAATCTCTAAATGGCTCCAAGAAAGGTCGTATATAAATTTAATAGAAACCATCAAATATCAGTCATGAGCGACAAATTCTGTAAATGAAGACTATAAAAAACAGATATCATTATAAGACTGATAATCTTCTAAGATCATGAATCAAACACTGTCAAGATCTCATGACCAGAAAATTGAGACACCAAAGGGTAAGATTTCCATTCTCTGTTTGCTTACCCAAAAATGTCAGTGGCGGATCCAAGGGGGGGGGGGTTCCGGGGGTTGGAACCCCTTTTCTTTGACGATCAATGCTTTTGAATGGAGGCATATAGTTCGAACCCCCTTTTAAAAATGGCTGGATCTGCCCCTGAAAGTGGTGACTGGATAATCTGAATTGAGAATATAGTCCGTTTGACTTCTATAAATCTTCAGAAAATAATTCTTAAAAATTCATTTTTACAAATAAACATTTTTTTTCTTGATGTATGTTAATGTATGATATATACGAACTCTGACTATGAATATCATAATTTTAGGCCAATAATCAAAAAAGTTACCCATTAGGTCTCTATGTTACTTCTATTGTTTTTTATATAAAATACTTGATGGAGTAAGTATGAATAGTGTAACAGGTTCCCATTCAAAACAAAAACATAAGACATGTGCTTTAAACCTGTTTCATTATACCATGTGACTTTTCTCATTTAAATAACGCTGACCAGCAAACAAACTTTGACTTCATTTAAGTTTTATGTCATGTGATTACTGAACTTATTGTATACATGATTTTGCATTTTTCATTGTTCAATTTCTAAGAGTAACCTTAGTAATATTTTCCACTGGACATTACTAGTATAACATTTTTAAAAACTACAAAGTAGTTTTATTCAAAATTCAGTTTAGAAATTTTATTAAAAAGTTCCCCTTTTCATCAGTAAAGGTCTTTATGGTTATATTTTATCTAATTTTATTTTCATATTATGATTGTCATAAGCTGTGTTTTTTCAAGAAAAAAGTAAATATTAAATGTATTCTGTAAATACTTATTGGTGAAACTTTTTAGAGGCTCTCCATTTTCTTAATACTGTCATCATGCTTTAAGCATGAAAAGCTTGCTTATATTCTTTAATAAGATATATATAAATATATAATCAAATTAAGGTAACAAAAATTAAGATTTGGTAAGGAATAAAAACAAAATAAAACATCTGATTATAATATTTTTTCCCACAAATAACATCTTTGTAGATACATGCAAGTTCATTTATAAAATCATATAAAACCAGTTATAAAAATACTTAGATGATGGTCATTTTTCATGACATGTATTATGTCCTTCGATATTTAAATGAGTTAAGTCACATGGTACAATGAAACAGGTTTAAAACACATGTCTTATGTTTTTGTTTTGAATGGAAAGCTGTTACACTATTCATACTTACTCCATCAAGTATTTTATATAAAAAACAATAGAAGTAACATAGAGACCTAATGGGTTACTTTTTTGATTATTGGCCTAAAATTATGATATTAAATAGTCAGAGTTCGTATATATCATACATCAACATACATCAAGAAAAAAATGTTTATTTGCAAAAATGAATTTTTAAGAATTATTTTCTGAAGATTTATAGAAGTCAAACGGACTATACCATAGATTCCAAGTATTTCACTTTTGTCAAAGTTTTGATTTTTTTCTCACTGGTTACTAGTTAGTCATTCAATATGATTAAATAATAATACAAACTCATCTACATGTACATATGCTGTTGAACATTCTGACACGAATGTAATTTTCTACACCAATACTGTAAATTTAAATTTCTGACACATGCATGACATGTACTACCTGTGTTATAAAACAGATTCAGACATTAGTTTGTACCTCCAAATAAGACATGGAGACTTTGTATTTCATTTCTTCTTTCGTTCTGTCCATCTCTACAAACAAATCGTTTAGTCCCCGGGCCATGATTCCTGGTTCATCATCTGTACCCAACATGGTGTATGTTTTTCCTGCTCCTAGAAATATACAAAAATATACCATTCAGTCCCAAAGTCATTTAATAAACAAGGGCTTTTAAAAGGGCTAATGTAAAAATAAAATTGATTTCCAGATGTAAATAGTATAAATTTTTACCTTCAATCAACCATTTCTTCCCTATTTGTATGAAACACATGTGTCATGTTTGTAATATAATATCCTTTTATATCCCAGACATTCCAACAAATTTTAATATTCATTAAGAGAACCTGTATGCCTAAAATAATTTGAAGCATTCAACTAGTAGAATTGAAAGGAAAACCCAACAACACAAAGAACCAAAGACATAAATGTGTCTGGTTTGGGAAGGTCTAGAATGGACTGGAATAATTATTTTAACTAATTGTTAAAAAAGGATTGACTTGGATGTAATGTAAATTAATGATAGGGTAACCCACAAAAGTGTTTCAGTATTAGATTGCACTGAAGTCTTGACTGATTTTTTTCAGGACTTGCTGGTGCCGTCAAGTCCTAAAACACCACTTATATGTCAAAGAAATTATGTACTATAGTGTTTGAGTTCAATAAAATTGAGAATGGAAATTGGGAATGTGTCAAAGAGACAACAACCCGACCAAAGAGCAGAAAACAGCCGAAGGCCACCAATGGGTCTTCAACACAGTGAGAAAATCCTGCACCCGGAGGGGGGGCTTCAGCTGGCCCCTAAACAACAATGCGCACTAGTTCAGTAAAAATAATCTAGTATTCTGGCAGTGTATTCTGTATCAGAATAAAAAAATCATTCAGAATTGCATTGTCAAATTCTTTGGACAGGCAAGTCTCCAATAAAATATAATTTCACTCAAATCAATTTTGAATAGTCATAATGAAACAGTCAGTCAATATTGTTTATCGCAATGCTTCTTATTATTGATATTTCTTTTTATTTCTTCTTCATTTTTTGCCAAATGACATAGCAATATTTGATTGAGCCGTAATATTATAAAATTTGATGTACCATACAGCATAATATCTGATAACTTCAATTCTATCGAAATACATCATCGCACATGAAAAGTAGAATTAGATATTAACATAATATTTTAATGAAATATATGTTAAATGCTAGATTAAACAAGCAATATTAAATTTATGTTCATCCAAAGTATTGATTTAAAACATCCTATATGAATTACTAATGTGATTTTTTTTCAAAAGATGACAAATGTGAGATCCTTGGATATTATACAAACATAAATAAATAAATAGGATTCATGCATGCAAATGTAACTTCAAATGTAAAAGAAAATTGTAAATAACCAGTCTGTCAAGCGGGTGGTTGAGGGTTCCTTCGGTGTACTAAATGCTTGCCAACTTTTCATTTTCATTTATCAATCAACATTCGATCACTGCTTTTTGTGCAAAAGAATAAAAATGCAACCTAATAATTTCACATTATAACATTTTCCTTTTTAATGTGAAATAATACTTTACTTAGTGTAATTCTATGCACATTAAATGTTGGTATTAGACACACCCATGAGAACATTAGCATGAATTGGTGTATATCAAAATTATACCATAATATTTGGTTAATGCAAATTGATAGATTTCAGTAATTTAGAAATGGGATCATTTTAGCAATTTGACCTTATTTTATGGTAAAGCATGATTAAAACAGAATGTCCAATATTCATGTCATCATTCATGTTGTATAAATTTGAAAAAAAAGTAGACACTTAAATTACCACATGAAAGGATAAATGCAAGGGCATAAAAACAAAAGATCCAATCCCCCTAAAAACTTCTGTTTTACGTTCAATACTTTTGTGTTTGTTTTTAGTTTCAAATGGAGGTACAAAAGATTGCCAATTTTCAGTTAATCTTTTCAACTGAAAAATGCAGTTGCAGTTTTGTATGCTGAACTATTATTATTTCAAGTTTTGCTTACAGAGTAAAAGTAAGTTTATTTTAATTATTTGTATGATACAAACATTTACAATTTTTTTTCATTTCCAGACATTTTTCAATTATTAATTTTCAGAACATTCAGTAAGACAACCTAATATAAGTAAGTAACATAAAAACATGTTCAAATTTGATATATATATATATATGTGATTATGTTTATTCTTTCTTCTGAGTCATGGGGCCTCGGTGGCTGAGTGGTCTAAGAAGTTGCTACTGTAATCACTAGCCAGTCAACACTGAGGTTGTGAGTTCGAACCCCGCTCGTGCCGGTGCACTCGACTCCAATCTTAATTGACTAGGATTGTCAGTTTTCCTATCGAAGGTCAGTGGTTTTCTCCGGGCAATTAGGCCTCCTCCACCAATAAAAACTGGCCGCCACGAAATAGCCCAAAAGCGGTGCTTAAAAGTGGTGTTAAAACACCAACAATCAAAAATCAATCAAATCTTCTGAGTCATGCAAATTGCCAGATCTTTACAGGTAGAATATATGTATCCTAAGAGGGTACAGAACAACTAAGGGAGTTAACTCTTTAAAAATCAGCTGAACATTTTAATAACATACTATTACAGTAAAGAGAAATCAAGCTTCTCAATGATCAAAATTAGTGTTTGTCAAACTGCTATATATCCAATGAAATTATTCCTGTAAATTGTGTAGTACAAATCTCTTGAATTTTTTTATATTTTTGTCAACAGGCCAAAGTAAATATTTTTTCAAAATTTTATGAAAATTAAGCGAGCCAAATCTATTTTAGTCAAAGTGTTAGGTACCTCCTTATGTTGATTTCTAAAACACCCCAGCATAAGAAAGAGTTACAATTGTGAAAATAAAACAAAAATGGAGGTAAAGAGGTATATATTTGTATTGCCTTTCTTCTGCATGTGATAGCATGCCAATATCAGTCTAACTTAAATGCTCATATCATTTTGCAACTTGAAAACCTATTCAACATTTGGTTTAGATTTTTTTACACATTGTTGATTGTCAAGATTGTTAATCTCGACGATCAGCAAATTGTATGTTGGAAAAGCTGAAAATATGAAAAAAATGTTAGTAATAATCATTTAAAACATACCAGTTGCTCCATAGGCAAACACTGTAGCATTGTAACCATTGATGATATTTGGCAGCAAAGATCTTGTTGTATTCTTGTAAACCTCATCCTGAAGAATAAAAAACAAAAATATTTACCCAAATAAACAAACTAACTTAATAATGATCATCCCATTTACATTTTGGTCAACAAAAATACATTGTATGTTTATCTGAAGTACAAGTCAGTATAGGAAACATGTGGACAAAATTTAATCTCAACTTTAGAAAATTAACAACAATTAGGAAAAGAGACAGGAAATCAGCTGTGTTATGGTCCTTTTACAATGTTCCACTTGTTGAAGCCACGACTCAGGTCTCATTCCTCATCTTATGACATTACTTAATGTGAGATATCATTGAGGGTTGCAACTAGTGTAGCCAGAACTGCCTTCTTTCCTCAGAGTGCCTTGAGTTTAACATGGGGTTTGTGTTGCTCAATCTTTAGTTTTCAGTACAGTGTTTTATGAGTTATTGTTTGTCTGCTAGTCTCAATTTATTTCGTCATGGTTGTTAATGTCTGCCTTTCTGTGATTAATAATTTAAATTACACTTAGTATATCCTCTACCTTTTTCCCTATCACCACTTTGGAAAGTTAAAATTAAAACTTCTTCATTTCATATATCATTTTATATATTGGCATGTAGTCAGGATGTCTCTGAGGGGGGTTAGTTTGGGTCAAGACAGTCAAACTTCAACCTGAATCTCGACTTTAATAGTCTTTAATAGTATTTTTGATTTCAGAGGGGGTTCAAAACACATGGCTTTAGGTATGTAAACTGTTGTGTTTACCCCTTACATTTGAAATGAGAACATGTCAATTTAAACATTTTCTTTTTTTAAAGTGATAATTCTGAAATCATGAAGTACCTGGTCACTTATATTCAATGAATATCGTTATCTAAATTTTCATTAAGCTCGAATATTTGAAGTGTTTAATGACAAAAAATCCACTTAATCACGTTCAATGCAATGATAAAGCTCTTATATAAATATTTCCATTTGTTTTAACAAAATAAATCCCTTTATCATGTGCCAGATCAGAAAAAACAAACAATTCCGATTGCATATCATATAACAATTGTGCCATTTATCTGAACAATGCCATTGTTTTTGTGTATTTAAGAACATATAAAATATGTCTTCATAGACAATAATTTTGTTTTTGTGTATTTAAGAATATATAAAATAGGTCATCCCAGACAATAGTTTTGTTTTTGCATTACATGCAAATTAGCAGTTTTATCTTTAAAATCTTAAGTTTTTGCACACTTGGATAATTGACAATGATATTTAAGATAATTATAGTAATGTCACCTTGATGATGGGTCAAAGGGTTGGAATTAGATCCACAAGGTTTTTTCAATTTATTTAGTTTTAGTCTTATTTAGAATAAAAATCATTCTTTTTATGGAGGGAATTTCAACTTTGAAATTTATATATTTGATTGTGGGATCAAATATATTCCATTAAAAATATGAAGTCAATTAAAAAAATTGTCTTGTTGAACACTTTATGCTGAACTCTTGATGTTACACTGTCGTGTTGCTGTCTTATTCTGATGAATACCCTAATTTGGCGTAATTAATAATCATAAGAATCGACAAGAATTATATATAATAGTTAAAATTGAGAATGGAAATGGGGAATATGTCAAAGAGACAATAACCCGACCAAAGAGCAGACAACAGCGGAAGTTAACCTACCTTCCCAAATAAAGTGAAATTAATCTTATGTATATTTTATTAATCTTTGTACCCATTTTTCATGAGAAAAAAATAGCTGTTGATATATATCTTTTTTGAGACATTTTTTTATTTGTTTGAAGTTGCTTAGGGTTGGAGTCTCATGTTAGTTAACTGAACATATCCTTTTAAAATGCAGTCTTTATCATAGGTTTTAGTGAATGTAAACTCTATACGTCTTGTTTGGAAGGCATTTTAAGTAAATGTAAAAAATATTGCATCCGATAGAAAAAAATGGTGCAATCAAGACATGTTTACACACTTGGACAGGAACACTAATTGACATATAGGACTTCAACCTTTCACTCCCAGAATACTTAATTTGAACTGTCCTGAACTTTTCAAACCAATAAATCAAATTCTTTGGCTAAGGATTCCAACAAAAAGTACCTTTTTTATTCTCCTTTACATGAATTTTATTATTGTCTTAATAGCACTTTCTTTATGCATTTGAATAAATTAGATGAAAGGATCAATGAATCAATGAATTTGATAAGTAACTATGATAGATCAGGTCAACTTCTGTTAAATTGTTAAATTCAGTCAATCTCTAAGTTTGATCCCCTATATAACTTACACAAGTAACATGTATATCATGCCAAGAAATCCTCGCTAAAAATTCCGGTCGACCTCCTACGGCATCCATTAGTAGTTAAAGATTTGATTTCATTCAATAAATAATTTATGACCCGCGTGTACGTCTCACTTAAAACACAGCCATATACCAAATGGTCAAAATTAATCATCCATGTAATTTGCTCTATGGGATGTTTGCAAAATTTCAACGGAGGCAATTTCTTGGCATGGAAAAAATAAACTTGTTTTCCCCATATTACTTCTTAGAATAGGTTTTTGTATAAGACTGAATATCAAGTGAGGAGCCTTGTGGTTTTCTAACTTGTCAATATCTGAATTGTGTTTGTTATTTGGCAAATTATGTGTCTTTGGCAATCTTATCATTTTAATATATTCACAACTTTTATCAAATCTGGACGATTAAAGCTTGACATATTATATAGAGTTAATTTCTATTCTCAAAGAATAAATATATTCAATATTATATTGCCATCTAGATGTCTTTTTGTTCGCTGCGTCCTTCAGTTGTTTTCTAATTGATAATAAAAAATTTATTTCATTTGATTTCAACAGGACTTGTGTTCTGCATGACATGATGTAAATTAATGCCATAATCTGTATCAAGGCTGCATTATAAATTCAAGACTGCTACAAAAGCTTCCCATTAAGTTATTGTGTCTATTTCACTGAGTTTATAAGATCATGGAATATTATCAATATGTTATTAATAATTTCATGGAGATTTATTAACAATGAAATTTGCAATTTAATAATATCAACTAAATGAAATCAACCATTTCTTATTTTATTCAATAAATTAAAAAAAAGAATATCAATATAAATCCTCTTACTGAATTTTATTCAATAGTGCTTTTTGAGACTTTACCATTGAAAGCGTTTTGCCATACAGATTCAAATTGAACAGATATATACGTTTATGAATAAATTCTTGTAAATTTCAACTGTCGAAATGACTATTTGTATACTGCATAAAACTTACAAAACTGTACCAAAAATGTATTCTGGGGACAAAAGAGATAGTATATGTTTTGAAAGGAGTTCGATCTTGGGAATTTTTGAAAATCCAAGAACAAAATTACAAAAATAGACATTTCGAGGTTTTAAACTTATGAGTCTTGAAAAAAACATGAATCAATTCATCAAAGAGGATCAAACATTTGTCACTGGACACAATCTTGTTTATATTTCTTTGAATTATAACTTTCTATAATCTTCTTAAATTCATTTTCTATCTTAAAATTTCAAGTACAATTGTGACAGTTGAAAATTGAAGACTTTTTCAATCCTTTTGTTATCAAGCTTTCTAAAAGAACATCTTATTGATTTAATTGTTGACAATTCAACAAAGTAAAGATTAAATATCATATATATTAGATTGATAGAAGATTTACTTTATCATGTTTATTGATTCTAAAAAGTCAATCTATTTTATATACAAACACTTTAAAAAATTCAATATAAGTATTTGAACAGTACTCTTACTAAATACATATGTACTTAAAGATCAGATTCCAAAATATTAACAATGCAACTCTGTTTGAATAAAATATCCTATAATTTTCAAAGAGAAAATTGTTCTTTAGCAAGAATCATTTTAAAATCTGGACCAAGCACTTAAAGAATAGTTTTGAAAGAAAAAGTGTCTGAAAATTTGATTGTTATGTACTTCATACTGATAAACAATTTATACAAACTTTTCACAACTATTTGGGTCATCTTGAATTATCTTTCTTAAGTTTGAATGATTTAAATATGATTTTTTATGAAATATATTTCGTAAGCCAGACATGCATACTTTCTTAAAAATGATCATTTATTTGTTTCCTTTCATTTTATGTAATCTTGGTTCAAATCCATTTCTAATTATTTTTTTTTTCTTCTAAACATGCTAATATAAAGATACTTTAGATTGAAATATACAATTAATTTCCCCATAGGCGACAATGATAGCCTTTTTTGAGATACAGACTTTAGAAAGTTGATTTTTTTAACGAAACCTTGCTAGAATTAAAGAAAAGTTATTAGGACAGTATTTGTTGGTCCAAAAAATATAGGTTCGCGTTGCTTTTCTTGGCGTAATTTGTACTTATCTCCCATGCCTATCAATTTTGCACTTAAAAATATGTGTCTCATTCTAGCGTAGAAAAGACATCTCAGTTCCGTTAGGCCTAAGGAAAATAATTTATTTGGCCTTTGGTATAATGCAGAATGCACGAAATCTCTAATAATAAAAAATAATGGGCGCACATATCAACCAATCAGGATTAACTATACTCTTAATTCTGAATACCATGTTATCTTCATAAAATGGCTGTGCCCATAAAATCTAATGGTTTATTGTAACCTTTAAGTTGACCGCTCTTCAGTTTATGTTCTTTTTGGTCATATATTTACACCTCCTTGGCTATCAAATGTATGGATTGGAGCTTTCCTGATTAAGCTAATTTACTAAAATCATGAAAAGAGCTTTAGACCCACAAAATATGAAAAGGCACTTTTTTTAATTGAGACCACCAATGCAGTTTTTCAAATTTTACAATTTGTAACAACAGCAACATGACATTAAAAAGTATTTTTTGGAAAAAGTTTCATGATTAAATAATTACACTTAAAATAAAAGTTTGCTTAAATAAATTTTGTTTTAATTAATTAAGCTAAGTTCAAAGTTTATGACCTTATTCAAATTGTAATTAATGTATAAGTGACCTATATTATGTGTTACGTTACAACTTTTAAAGGATATAACCTCTGTGAACTTAATAAAAACCCAAAAAATTACATGAAACTTTTACCAACAAAGCGTTCAGTGACCGTAATTAATCGTGCCTCTAATTTGTAATAAGTAAACATAATAATATTGCGGAATTTTAAAAACATATATCATGTATTACACTCTTAAGTACAACTTTAATACTTTTCATATAAAGCAGGTCAAATGATCAAGAGATGAAAACACCTAAACAAGAGTGCTAAAAATGTAGCTCAAATAATAAATATCAAAAGAAAATAGGTCAAAACGATGCACAACAAATCATATAGGATTTGGTTGTCCATAAAAATAAGATAGTTGCTCCATTTCATTAATATTTTATCAGCCCTGTCCAAAAGATCTGGGTTTATTGCTGGGATTGGTATACAATTGATGAGATAAATAATCTGATTTATGGACGTGAAGAGTGATACCTTTCACAGTACTTGTACAGATTTCAATGAAAACAAGCTATTCAAGAATTTATCTCTCTATAATATTACAACTCATATCATAATTGCTACTGATAACGTTAATGTATAACTATAAGAGAGCCGCTTTGTTTCAAACATTATTATATTATGTTCCCAAAAACGCCTGATCTTGCCCTTATAATTAAAGAGTTTTTCATTACCTTAATTGTTTTTCATATTTCAATTGGGAATTTATAACATCAGTATCATGAAAACTGTAGGTTAATCATGGGTTAATTCAATAACACAAATGATGCCCCTTTGCATATAACGTTATATAGCGGCACAACTCAAGAACGGTAAAAGTGACGCCACCCAAATTCAAACTTGATCTGAGATTTATGGTAATAAGCATTGTGTATAAGTTTCATAATATTTGGTTGAAAAGTGACGTCACCCAAATTGGGATGGGGGGCATACAAATAAGGATAAGAACTTATATGCCCTATATAATGTCTACATCAGTTTTTTAAAAGAGAGTGGGTATAGATCCTGGCAGGATATCCCAAACTACATTTTTTTTTCTTTCTAAAAACAGAAGTCTCAGCCATGATTTCGTTAGTTATTGATGTATTTATTCAGCTTTTTTCCTCTAGCACTTTGCCATTTGTTGAAATTCTAATGTTCAGGACATTTTCAACCAATTATAATCCTTTAGCTCATTTTTTCAAATATTACCCAGAATTCAATAGATTCTTTTAAAAGTGGTGAATTTTCTTCATGCATATAAAAATAAGAAGATGTGGTAGGTATGATTGCCAATGAGACAACTCTCCACAAGAGACCAAAAGACACAGAAATTAACAACTACAGGTCACCATACAGCCTTCAACAATGGGTAAAACCTAAGCTTGATTTACCTGTAAGGCATTGCTGTCAAATGTGCAGTCGAAAACAAACTGTTTTTCTCGTGACCTGTTAGCTCGTAGGACGTCATCATGATCTTCCATAGGATCCATTAGTACAACCATCTATAAAATACAACAGATGACACAAATTATAATAATACTTCACCAGTTAATTCATGTTTTACTGAAATTTTATTTACTTTATACATCGCTTTATTTCAAATTTTGAAATAAAGGTAGATAACTCCTATTTGTGATAATTAATGACAAAGCATTTACTTAATCAAATGATTACAAAATCACTTATTAATCAAAGTAATTCCCCTGACAATGCTGACTGACTTAACTATACTAAATAATTTGTTCAAATATATACTATTGTTATACAATGCCTTATATAATATTATTGAGATATATTGGACACATGTCAATCTCAATTCAATCAGTAAATATGATTTATTCAAAATAGTGTTGTAATTTGTACACTTATTTTTCTTTTCTTATTCTCATACATAGATGGCATAATTCATCCTTTCATGATTTAATGTAGATAATTTTTCTTTCACAATTTTGCTAAATATTTGATTGAATCACTGCATGTAGGTCCATTTTTCTTTCTCTTATAATGACTTAAAAACATATAGACAGAGGCCCTGCATGAACATGCAGCTTTAACCAAGTGTTTTACTCTCCATACTGCATAAAATTCATGACTTAACATAAAATTCAGTGGAAAAATGAAGATTGTTAGGTGTGAAGAATTTTTTAAGTATTAAATGATCATGACCACAATTATCAATTTAGGCCAAAACTTCACATTCGTCTGAAGATTAAAATATGACAATCATAATCACATCTTTATAATAACTATATATTGACAAGTCCTTGAAAAGAAAAAAAAATAATGCCATATTGTATTACTTTTATTTCACCTAGCTGACTCATAATTGAATTCTTGTGCCAGGCTAATTCAAACTATAAACTTGCCATGGATTGTAATATGTATGACAAGAATTTGTAAGGCGTGAAATTCTCTGGAATTTTGGTCACTATAGCTAGGCCAGGATTGCACTACATTAACTTAATTTTATTTCACCTGAATCATGGATTGATTCCTGTGTAACCATCACTCAATACATTGACTTCCCACAGACAGTATAATGTAAGACATAAAGAATTTATAATGTTATAATGTTGTTGGTCACCATGTGACACTTCATGTACTGATCCAAATTTATTATCTTACTCCCATGTTATTATTATTGCTAACATTGATCATAATAAAGACTTATCTTGGAAGGAGAAAGTTAGAAACAAATTAATATATAGGCCAAGATAAAAAAAAAACAACTTATGATTAGGGTATCCTTACCTACCAAATTTTACAACCCATCAAACTTAATTACCCTTAAGTTTTTATTGACACTTTTTGCAGGCAGGACAAAATTGCAGATGGTCTTCATATAGTTGACGTCAAAAGTAAAAGAAATCCTACCTACTCTGTTTTTCTTAAGCATATGTTAAGGATGTTCTCTACTCTGTTTCAAAATAACAAGCTTTTTAAAACATGTAAAAGACTGTTATAAATTGATAGTATATGAATAAAGGAACTAAAAAAGCAGAAAAAAATGAAGGGTCAGTGTGCTTGTTTTTAAGATATAAGCCTTTGAAAATTTGGCGTAAAATGATTCTCTCTAGATTTTTCATACATTTAACATTGGCACCTTTTTTCTATAAAAAACTATGAAAAAATAACAAGGATTTTGTAAGATTTTCAAATATGGCTTTTAAAACTATATGTAATAAAATTATGGAAAGAAAAGAAGGGGTTACTGGTTAAAAAATTTAATGGCACAACATGGATAAAACCAGAGGATTCCGAAAATCTGGCAAAAATTCAAAAACAAGAGGAGCGAACATCCTTAAGAAGGAAAACAACAATCTTAGTCCCCTACATTACGATGTAGGTATAAACACATGTATGTACACGTCTTACAGTAATTTACTATTGACTATCACAATTTTGTTTTCTAATCAAATGAAAACAATCCTATAATTGACTTGTAATGAAGAGTCAAATGAAAGTCAAGATTTTACAGTAAATGTTGGTCACCATACAACACACTACATGGTCGATATTATGTTCATTTCTTTTTAAACCTCATTTATTTGTAAATTGAAAAATGGACTTGCTATGGACGAAGAAATGACAAGAATTTAAACGTTGTGGGATGCTACGGTGACTTTGGTCATCATACTATGGACGAAAAAATGCTGATGACATTTAAATTTAATATGTATGTTAAATTTATTAAAAAGACCACCCTAATATGAATAATTTTATAGGAATAACTAACTACTGAAATCATTGTCCTCATGATGAGAAAATTCTTATTTGACCTTTTAAACTTTTAACAAAATATTTTAAGAAATTTTCAAATGTCTTGTAAATTTGAAAATAATATTTCTATTTATAAGTATCTCTATTTATTAATGTTTCTAGTGAAGTGCGAGTCACGACATGATCAATTTATATTTCATATATTGTATCTCAGTATTACAATTCAACAATTTGGAAAATGTTATCGGGTTTCAAATTCGCCTTTTATATATCCATACAATAAAATAACATTAAAACCTTTTGGACAAGGAAGCTCCTGAAAATTATACATCTTAAACCATTTTTGGCAAAATTAAAATCTATGATGAAGCAACTAAATATGCATTTTCATAAAATAAGAAGCATTAAATTATCAACATTTGAACATTCATGTTTCAATTTTATCTGTTTTAAATTGACTGAAGAGAGCAATAAAAGATGAACAACCTTATCAAATATTGCTTATACTGCCAATTTAGTACAATAAAATTACAATATCAAAAGAAATTTTCCCCAAAATATGATAAACTTCAGTAACTTTACTTCAACTGTTCTGTTTCAATAGTGCAACATCAGCCTCTATAGTGCAATATTATGAACTTCCAATTTCAAACCAATAATTTCATTCAAAACCATAAATAAACAAGAATGTGTCCATAGGATGCCATGTCCTGCACTCACAATATCACATTTCCATGTTGAGTGGCGTATAATTCAAAAAGTTCACATCATAATGAATATATATGCTTACTAAGTTTCAAGTTGATATGACCATAACTTAATTATAAGATCACTGTAAAACAAAGCTTTAACCTGATCAGAAAGGAAGAGTTTAAATGGAAAAGACAGAAGGCTAATTAACAGACTGAAACAAAGACAGGAAAACACTGATACTATAGTACATGTAGGCAGGGTATAAAAAGCAGTTTATTAGTAACATATTCATTCAAAAAGTATTTACATAGACTATTCACCTTCAAATAGTCACTTAACAAATAACAAATTGTCTTCCATGAGTTTAGCCTTTGCTATAAAGAACATGTCAATTCTATGTGTAAGATACACCAATGAGGGTGTTAGGTCATAAGGTGCATCTAATTAACAACATGATATTTATGTTCATTCAAAAGGATAGCAATAAGTCAGGAGAGGGATTTTTAAGCATTTTGGCCTTATTTCATGGTAAAGCATCATTGAATGATATTTGGTGTTTAACGCCTCTTTCAACACAATTGGCTATTTAGGGGCGGCCAGTTTTTATTGGTGGTGGCAGCCGGAGTGCCTGGAGAGAATCATCCACTTTAGGCAGGAAAACTGAAAATCCTTGTAAATTAAGATTGGAGTCGAAAGCACCTGCCATCTGCTGGATGCAAACTGTAAACTTCAGTGATATAGTAGTTGAACTAAGTACAGTTGTACTTCTATGAAGAATTTTTACTTACAAATAATGTCTTTGAAAACTAAACTTTTAATTCCAAACTTAAATGCGTCCTTGAACACTAATATATAACATGACTCAAACACCATCAACATTTTCAAATTTCAAATCTCTATCTATCAGGAAGTTACCAATAGGCATGCTCAGTCATGTTATGTAGTTCTTGCAATGTTCTTGCAAACATATAGAATTGTCAAAGATTTCTGCAATCTAGCTGCGAACATCACTTATATTCTAGTTTTTCCTGCAACCTTACTGCAAACATTTTTGTTTCTGCAAACTTGCCGCAAGCTTGCGGCAAAAAGCTGCAATGTTTGCAGGAGGTTTGCAGCTAGCTGCAATCATCTGCAAACATTATTGAAAGGGTTCCTGCAAGCTTTTTGTTTGCAGCAGACCTGCAGCAAGTTTGCAGCACATCTACAGCAAACATTTCAGTTCTGTAAGGGCACTTAGACCACTAGGCCCTTTGGTTAAACATGATAAAATGAAGGACATTTTATTAAATTTAATGGCATCATGGTGCAAGTACATGCTTTTTAAAACCCCAAAACCCCACTAAATGGCAAACATATTTCTAGCAAAGTAAATAACACAAAATATGTGTACTTTGGTATATACTTTCAAGTATCCAAAGACTTGAGACAGTTTAATTTAATAAAATTAGTTATATGTGTCTCATCAGCTGTAGATCGAAATATTTCAAACAAATCAAAGTTCATTAGCATGCATAGATATCCAAGATCTTACAGAATAATCTCATCTGCGTGCATATTCAAGACTTAAAGTAAATATACATATGCAATCTATTTCAAAAGAAATTGACGACTAGCATGAAATTAAGTAATTTATCTTCTTAAACAAACTCAGATCTTATTACCAATTAGAATATCTTCTACCAAGAGACTTCGGATTGTCAATAAAATGTTTTGTTTGATCCTAAAGCTCTTTAGAATTTTTATTCACGATACAATACCTTCTTTTCCGATTGAGGTCTCTTAAAATATATTTTATGACAATGACAAGATAACAGAAGGTGAAGATATATTTTAGAAGTGATTATATGTTAATGTCAAATAAGTTACTTATAGTGTTCAAAGGTTTTGCAAATTACAAATTTGACAAAAAATGTTTTAAAGATTTGTTGAAATATTGAAATAACGTAAAACATGAAATGTATCTTTGAATTTGAATATGGCTAAAATCATTTCGTAAATATTTGCTTAGAGATAATCATTGTGAATCTTTCAATGTTTGATTAAGAAAAAAATTAGTAACTTGTGCATTAAAATGTCACTAAAATATAGTCTTTCATTATCAAAAGTAATTAAAGATGTTGAATTATATTCCAACTCCCACATGAACTATGAAGTTCAGGTGATAGTTAAAGGGAAAGGAGGATTTTTTATACCAATACCTCAAAAATAAGAATAAAGGATAACACTGATCACAATCAAACATGACCGTCACCTTGGAAACCTTGGAACATAATTGATGTGCCACCCAAAAGTGAACTTCCATCCCTTCCACTCAAAACATTCTCAGTGTGTTTGAGCTGACATAATATGATTAACAAATTCAAGCTTAGATTTTCAAATGAAATACCTTCAAAATAAGTCAGTTTAGAAAAGTACATATTTAAGGTTTGCCTCTGACTAACTTGACTCTTAAAGCATGTAAAGCTCAGGAAATGTAAATAGTATTGCCAACTTGGTTTGAATTATTGAAAGTCTTACTAATGGGATGTCAATAAAAACAAAAATCTCATCCCAAATGAAGGAAAATTTATAGTTATATGTAACATTCATGTTAAATGCCCCTTAAAGTTGTCAACAACACTTAATCATGTTAAAGTAAAATTATCAATCCTTTTTGTCCCTTATAGCTTGCAATTTGGAAACCACAAGAGCTTCTAAATGTCTGATTTAAAAGTGCAAGCTGATAATTACAAAAATAACTGATAGAAAAAACTAGGTACATCAAAAATAAAAATTTCGTGAAGAATTGAAAGAAAAAAGTAAATTAAAATTGCTCAAGTTTATAAATTGAAAAGGTACATGAAATAATAACACTTCCTCAAGGAGTGTTTTAATTAGTTTACGAATTAATAAGAACTTATCATAAACCTAAAATAAACAATAGGAAATAATACCAGGATTTTCAAAAGACAATTGCATTATGCTGCCTAAATAGTCTGTACTGACTTAACTCTATGTAAGGTGGTATAAGGGTCAACAACTCTGTTGAGACACTAAAGATTTTGATATCAATTAATTGATATTTATTAATATCGACAAACTGGACCTAAGTTAAATTGATTTTTGTAAGTATGGGGATTATATAAAAGATCTTAAGTGATTATAGATCTATAAACAAGATTATTTTATATAGTGACAAAGCTTGTAACGGCAATTTGTAAACTATTGATTCAGTCTATCCACTGTGTGTGGCTAAATAGAGACAGGTTTTATATCATTTGTATATAGATCTGTGAATGCTCACTATATATAGCTACATTTATAAATGGAGTTTGGAGGAAAGTGGTTTAAAAAGTTCCACTCAATTGAGTTTTTAATACTGTCAGTGCTAGAATAATGGCAGCTTTCATATACAAATACACATATAGTTTTATAATTTTATATATAATAATGTATATTAAAGGCAAATATTTTGAAATCTAACATGCATCACAGATAATTCATTGGCTATTACCCTTAAGGTCTTAAACCGTTTTCTCGGAATTCTCTTAACTCAGTACAAAGGTCTTAGACCTTTAAATTTCATGGATTTAGATTCTGGACACTTTATAACTTTACAATATACATGTATATCAAACTGATTGAAGGTCAAAATTTTAAAAAACATATTCAATCATAGTTACTGAATAAACCAGTCTGATTATTATTTTCCCAGAAGAACCTTTCCATGGACATGATACAGGAAGTACCAGGAACTTTAATAGGATGAGAAACCATTATTATATTTTTATTGGAACACTGAAATTCATCCCCAGTTCTTTTTGCAAATTCATTAGATTTCTGGTTTCGTTTGTCTATTTCTTTGGGGCTTCGGTGGCCGAGTGGTCTAAGTAGTCCAACTACTGTATTACTAGCCTGTCAGCACTGAGGTTGTGAGTTTGAATCCCGCACGTGCCAGGTGTGCTTGACTCTAATCTTAATTGACTAGGATCATGTCAGCTTTTCCACCAAAGGTCTTGGTTCTCTCCGGCTTCCTAAACCAATAAAAACTGTCCACCACGAAATAGCACAATAGTGCTGAAAGTGGGTTTAAACACCAATTAATCAATCAATCAATCTTTTTCTTAAAACAAGTCACAAAGCACATTGTATTATCTACATATGAATAAAAGAAGTGGGGTAAATATGCTCTATGGTCGGGTTGTTGTCTCTTTGACACATTCCCCATTTCCATTCTCAATTTTAAATATCACTGAGACAGGTAGACCAAAACACAAGTAATGAAAAGACACCTAAAGTCAATAAAAGTTCTTCAACAAAAGACAAGTGTCTATACAATATGTCTACCTCTAAATTGTCAGAGTATAAAAAAAATATTTTTTGCTCATTGTAGAAGGCCGTATGATGACTTATAATTGCTTTAATCCACGTCATTTGGACCCTGTTGACTCATTGGCAATTATACCATATTTCCTTATTTATATGAACAGAGACTACTAAATTTCTGCCTCAACACCAAATACCCCTTTTATTTTTTTTTAAATCCTTTGGTATCTTCTTGGTTGTTTTACACGATTTTCATTTACTGTTTTTACTGTTTTCTCAAATCAATTCAAAAGTTTAACATAGGTCAAAAGTTTTAATCCAGGCTGATATTGTTTATTTCATAACTTGAACTTATTTTCACTTTGTTATTAAATATCAAAAATAAAACACAATTGTATGCAATTCATTATAAGTTTAAAATCTCTATAATCAAAATATATTCAACAATTGAATTATCTATTTATTTTACCATATCAAAGTTGTTTTTATTATACATGTATTCAATATTGAATATAGAATTCCAATAATAAATTTCTTTACCATCAAAGATTGTAATTAAGCCCCTATGTGATGTTTATACGCCAGGAATATGTTATAATTTTTTTTCTTGATCTTTTAATCAAAGACACATAAATAGAAAAGTAATATCTTATTTATGATGGGATGAATAAAGACAATATAACCTCGCATGAAATATAAACTTTTTAATTACAGGACTGATGAGGCAAAAAAAATCCAATTTGAGGAAAAGTACAAGAAAAAACCATTGAAATCAACATCTCAGAAAAAATAATCCATTTCAACATGAAAACAACAACAGGATCAAATTTCCTGTTCTATACAGAAATATTTTCAAGGTCTAAGACAGAATTGATCAGACTTTTTCCATATTAATGCCTTTGGTAGGGCTAGATATGTTCACTCCTCAGTTTGTCAAATAAGTTTTGGCTAAAGATCTTAAGGGGACCCTGTACTTTTAGAGTTAAAAAAGTATTTAACAATTGTACCAAATACCAAGGAAAATTCAAATAGGCGGAAGTCCATTAAAAACCGGAAAAAAATCAAACGCTCGACTTTTTCAACCAACTGAACTAATTGAAAACAACTCTCATATTCCTGACTTGGTACAGGTATTTTCCAATGAAAATGGTGAGTGAAACTGGTTTTATAACAAGCTTAACCTCCCACTTATATCACAGTTGTTAGGGTTAAAGTGTTCAGTTTAGGTTTTAGGACTAGGGCTAGTGTTAGGGTAAGGTATTGGTATGGATTAGTTCTAGGGTTATATGGACAGCTAGGGTCCCCAAAAGTAAATGATGGCTGAGATTGATTGATTGATTTATGACAATTTTAAAATGTATAAGGGGTTGCCTGATTTTGTGTTATTAGAAGAATAAAAATTAACCTCACAAAAATATTAAACTGCACCTGAAACATGTCAATTCTATAAACGTACTTTATCATAAAATGGCAGCAAGTAAACAATGTCACATTAAAACATTGATTGTAAGGCTGTACATAATTTCTTATATATATAACATGCTATAAGCTTCTTTTAATTTAATTCAATACCTTGGCTTGTACTTTATGTGCAATACTTTTCGCTCCATTGTAATTTTCATCTTCGTTCAGAGGTCGTATTCTTAAAGCCACCTAAAATAGAAATTATATAACAATATTTATGATTAATCAGTAATTGTTTTGCCATTCAATCCTTTTCTTAGGCATGTTAGGTTATCTATTTGCTGAATGAGTGTGAATGCTAATGTGTTTTGATGGCATATCTCTTCTGTTGAATTTAACCACAAGTAGTCTAGACTTAAGAATTTTGTCAGTATTTTTCTATAAGACTAAAAATATATATATATAATAAAAACTATAACACAATTTTCCATACGTTTTGGCCATTACGGCCTCCTTCATTGGAATAAATTACAACATTGAAACAACAATAACAATGAAAATAGGCCGTAATGGCCGAAACGTATGGAAAATTGTGTTATAGTTTTTATTATACATTCAATCAGAGACTTTATATAAATATATATATATATACAAAGTTATATACTTAATTGTTATATGCCTTCCACAATTGTTCCAGCATAAGAAAACTGTTACAATTTTTTAATTTTTTTTTAAATAGTCAATGTCAGTGAATGTAATAGGTTCTATCTTAAGGATGTTCGCTACTCTGTTTTAAAATAACAAGATTTTTAAAAGACTATTCTGAAATGATAGTATATAAATAAAGGAACTAAAAAAGCAGAAAAAAACAAAGGGTCTGTGTGCTTGTTTTCAAGATAAAAGCCATTGAAAATTTGGAGGGAAATGATTCTCTCTAGATTTTTCATACTTTTAACATTGGCCACTTTTTTGTTTCAAAAACTATGAAAAAATAACAAGGAATTTATAAGATTTTCAAATATGGCTTTTTAAACTATATGTAATAAAATTATGAAAAGAAAAGTAGGGGTTAGTGGGCAAAATTTTTTAATGGCAATACATGGATAAAACCTGAGGATTCCAAAAATCTGGAAGAAATTAAAAAACAAGAGGAGCAAACATCCTTAAGTCATAGAAGTACTATGTTATCTCTTCCTATATGAAGTTCTACACACACGTAATGCTGTAAATGGTTGCTTTTATGAGATGTCAAATACATCAATGAGTTGCAATTTCACCAAGGTAAAATCTCAATAGGTTAGTCATTTTCACCGTTAGATCATGTAGATACAGTATCTGTATATATCATGTATATATATGCTTTTTTATCCTTATTAATCAAATTTAGAGTAAACACTTATATATATTATTGTCCAAGGTGCCTTTTGAGTTTTATCGTTTCATGGACATGGGTCCCAGTTGGACCTTCATACTGTGACATACATTGTCATTTATGTTACTTTCAAACTCATAGGTTTTTGTTTCTATAAAAATATAGCTTTTAAATGAATATTTAACTTATAATTACAGCAGTGTTATAATTACTTTTTATTTTTTCTATCATTTTATTTTTTTGGGGGGGTTGGGGGATTTCAGTGTCTGTGTCCATTTCTAGGTTTATGATAGTTGATCATAGTAGTGGTCTACTACTACTAGTACCTGAGACTACTATAACACTGTGTTACAGTAGTCTCAGCAGTATCAGGTCGTTCCCGGCTCTAAACTGATCCGGCCCCAAGTCGATCCGTCCCAAAGTCGATTCGTCCCAAGTCAATCTGTCCCACGTTGATCCGGCCCTAAGTAGATCCGGCCCATAATAAAATAATGAATAATTTTAAATCGATACAAAAATGATTGGTACTGTTTGTTAAGCAGCATCAGTATATAAATATGAAGTTATTTTCCATGATCATGATGATAACTTGGAATATCATGGGGAAAAAAGTTTTTATTTAATTCACACATAGAAGAGATAAATCCAATGGAACATGTAATTATGTAATCATCATAATTACTTGTTTAATTCAAACCATTAGTCTATAACTAACGCCAGTTGTAATCACTTAATTCAATCAAAATCATGATTGATAAAATTTACTTAAGCAACAAGGTCTTTTATTTGAAGTTCTAATAATTAATTGTTATATTTTTTTTTAGATAACATGAAGAAGAGATGTACTTTATATAGATTAGACCGTTGGTTTTCCCGTTTGAATGGTTTTACACTAGTAATTTTTGGGGCCCTTTATAGCTTGCTGTTCGGTGTGAGCCAATGCTCCGTGTTGAAGGCCGTATACTTTGACTTATAATGGTTTACTTTTATAAATTGTTACTTTGATGGAGAGTTGTCTCACTTGACACTCATACCACATCTTCCTATATCTAACTATTATTTCTTTTCACCACTGTCTTCTCTTGTGTTCTTCATGTTCTTTTTTTGTACCATCGAATTGTGATATTAAAAGTAAAAACCCATTTCGTCTCCTCTTTTATTGAAAGGATTCGGCAACCAAACAATTTTTTTCAATTTGAGAAGTTTTTATAACTTTAAACAAAAACAAAGTTTGTATACATCAGCTTGGTGATCGGCTTGTACAGTTGTGTATGTAACTATTTGTTATTACACCCATTGAAAGACTTGTTAATATCACAGTCAATTGAAAAATGCTAATTACTGCTGATTTATGTGGATGGTACTAAATTCTGTTATATATCATGTATATGTTTTTATTATAATTATGCATACCCAATAGTCTTAAAAACTTGTAATATAAAAACATAATCATCATAAGTGTTTTATACTGCATAATCATCAGTATTCATTTGAGGTGTTAATTTGATTTGAATTCAAATATTTTGTATAAAAATAATATTATATTCCAAATTTGACAATGTGTGAAATCTTAATCATTGTTAATAATATAAATTTTATCAAAAATATTCAAATAAATGTCTCACCAAGTATGAAAATTTAATATTCAAAGATTCGTGAAAGGCCAACTTCTTTACCGTCCACCTTTTATATAATTATATCAAAATTCCTAAATATTTATGAATTACACTGAATTCATATATATATATATCTTTATTTTTATTCCTTATGAATATTTTTTATATTGGGGCTGAATGACTTTAAATATGGGGTCAGATCAACTTGGGACGTAACGACTTGAGACGGATCGACTTGGGGACGGATCGACATGAAAGCGTCTCAGCTAGTACTATACAAACTCTGAGACCTGATTCTTTTCTGGACAATTTCTGTTTAGAAATCTTCTACCGATAAACCTCCAGAAGAGTCAATTCTAGATATGTGAATTAAAAACTGTTCAATGGCCAAGAATGGGTATTGATATGTAAACAGGTATTGATATGTAAACAGGTAAAGAAAAATACACGTGAGTAACTACAAACAGACAAACATGTTTGGATTTTGTTTTCATCAGCATAACCAGTGACATCTTCATGAGAAGAGGTTAACTATATCATGCACCAGTGTGTCTTTAGGTGAAGGTATGTTCCCTGGCGCCTTCTTTCTTTGTGAACCGTTCTTTGTGCTAAAAATCAGATAACAAGCACATTTTCGTGGCAAGACTGTTAGTGTATTTTTTTTGACCGGAAATCCTTTTACTAAATGACAACTCAATTACGGTACTACAGCAATGCGGACAATATTGCATTTGTTTAAATTTGAAATCTCGAGAAAATATGAAAAGGTATTAATTTTAAAATTTTTTGGTCCGAATACACGAGATAAGGGTCTCGATTCTATTTTGATAAGCTTTCTTTATTCGCTCCCTTCTTAGTATTGGTAAGTGTTAAAAAAGGTTTGTTAAACATCTGGAGACTAGCTAATATATTGATAAAGATTTATGTATTCGTCCAAGTAAAATTGAAAGTCTCTTTTATATCGGCTCATATATGAGTTTTTGCTATAAATAAAAAAATATACCCAGTCGCAATGATTGGGAGCATGTGTCTACCCTTAACTTATGGAATTGGTTCAAAATACGAATAACACATCAAATCTAGACCTGGAACATAATATATAGTTTAATCTTCACAGATTATAAATACAGAATAATGAGCTGAAATAATAAAGAATTTTTATCGCATCTATAAACAAGAAAATAATAAACGGTGTTTTCCGAGCGCATGTAAATAATACAGTAACTGTAAAGCTATTAATAACTGACAAATCTAATGGTTAAAAAAGAATATGTTATTTGTCACCCCTCCCAGGAAAATCACGGGTCCATACTCTATTTAATGAAGATGGTTTTTATAAAATTTCACAGATGAATTTAAGACCAGAGTGAATAAATGGAAAAAAAATGTAAGTTATCTTACCGTAAGGTTTTGTTCCCCTCCCCCTTTCGTCGTCGTTTTGGTGTCATTTGCAGACACTGCCATAACAATTGACGTTGAAATTATTCCTAAATATATATCTTTCAGGTATATTCCATACTAATTAAAAAATTATAAACAAAACTGATAATAATATCCTATCAAGCAGTAACACCCAAGTCTAACAACTGCTTGTCACATTTTTCAAAATAAATTTAAACCGTGACACTATCAATATATCAATTTAAAACGATTTGTTTGACTTTCCGTAAGGTACACAACAAAACTAACGTGTCGAAACGAGATCCCGTTACGGTTAAGTAATTCCCAACGCACCAATCAGTTAACTTATTGATTTCTCAGGTGTATACAGGTACAGGTGATAATCAAAGCACAATTAGGTATCATAGATGTACATTACAACAGAAACAATACAATTGATTGCTTAATTGATTTTGGATGATTTTTGACGTCATAACTAAAATGATTCACATAATTTGTCCATATGTAATCAGGTCATTTTATAACGCGACCTGTTATGATGTATATATAACAGGTACGACGAGATGTATTAAAGAATATTTTGGCTAAATGTGTATACATATCAACAATTAAGAAAGAAAGAAAAACACTACAATTTACGTGTTTCTTGTATTTCAAATGTATAAACTACAGCACAGATATGTACATGTAGGCCAATTCCCATTGATTTCGCATCACTGACAGATTCAGCTCGGAGGAGATTGAAATAAGAAGTCGCAAATATTTATGAAAGGGGATGAATTAAAACCTTTTAAAGGATTATCATATCATTTTTATTTATAACATAAACATGCTTTTCAAAACTAGATACTACTGTTGGCGTTTGAAACTGATAAAAGTCTTGGTTGACATGGTTGACGGTAATTTCTCTACAATATTTGCGAAGATGTATGGAACATTGTAGAGACCTAATGGAATTTGAACATTACATATATAGTATGAATAAAAGACTTTAAAGACTTTTCAACAGGATTTTTATTGTATTTTACATTTTTATTCATAAATCGTTTTTCAAATATTCCTAGAAATGAGAGAATACGTCGATTAAGATTGCTCTTCTGCCTGTGTTGAAGATGAAATACATTTCCTGATGTCAGGTAAAATAAAATTGAATCAACAATATTGCTCTCTTTGATTTTATTAAGAACAATGGTTTCATTTCCAAATACACTACAATGAGCAGCTTTTATTTTATTTATTATAGTGAATCTTCAGACAGCTAGTTTGGTCATAAATGCAGCTGGAAAATTTACCTAATATAATATAGTTATGATTAAGTACTATTTGTTTTAATATAATGTATGCTTTGGAAACTTGCTACCGGCTTCAATGTATGCTTTGGAAACTTGCTACCGGCTTCAATGTATGCTTTGGAAACTTGCTACCGGCTTCAATGTATGCGTAGTAGGTACTGTAACTATATTGTATACATGTAACTATACTAATCAATGTTGTTTTTCTACGGTCTGTTTGCTCTCTATACCCGTCTGGTTGGTCTACGGTCTGTTTGCTCTCTATACCCTTCTGGTTGGTCTACGGTCTGTTTGCTCTCTATACCCTTCTGGTTTTTCTACGGTCTGTTCCTTCTGGTTGGTCTACGGTCTGTTTGCTCTCTATACCCTTCTGGTTGGTCTACGGTCTGTTTGCTCTCTATACCCTTCTGGTTTTTCTACGGTCTGTTCCTTCTGGTTGGTCTACGGTCTGTTTGCTCTCTATACCCTTCTGGTTGGTCTACGGTCTGTTTGCTCTCTATACCCTTCTGGTTGGTCTACGGTCTGTTTGCTCTCTATACCCTTCTGGTTGGTCTACGGTCTGTTTGCTCTCTATACCCTTCTGGTTGGTCTACGGTCTGTTTGCTCTCTATACCCTTCTGGTTGGTCTACGGTCTGTTTGCTCTCTATACCCTTCTGGTTTTTCTACGGTCTGTTTGCTCTCTATACCCTTCTGGTTGGTCTACGGTCTGTTTGCTCTCTATACCCTTCTGGTTGGTCTACGGTCTGTTTGCTCTCTATACCCTTCTGGTTGGTCTACGGTCTGTTTGCTCTCTATACCCTTCTGGTTTTTCTACGGTCTGTTTGCTCTCTATACCCTTCTGGTTGGTCTACGGTCTGTTTGCTCTCTATACCCTTCTGGTTGGTCTACGGTCCGTTTGCTCTCTATACCCTTCTGGTTGGTCTACGGTCTGTTTGCTCTCTATACCCTTCTGGTTGGTCTACGGTCTGTTTGCTCTCTATACCCTTCTGGTTGGTCCTTAATTGATAGTAAATAGAATAGAGAATGGAAATGGTGAATGTGTCAAAGAGACAACAACCCGACCAAAGAGCAAAGGCCACTAATGAGTCTTCAAAAAAAATCCGCATCCGGAGGCGGGCTTCAGCGGCCCCATAAACAATAATGTATGCTAATTCAACGAGATGGATGCCACACTAAACTCCGAAACATACAAATGAGTCAAAATTTAAAAAAAAAAACTAACAAAGGCTAGAGGTTCCTGACTTGCATTGGGACAGGTGCAAACGCGGCGGGGTTAAACATGTTTTGTGAGTTTTCAACCACCTCCTATACTTCTAGCCAATGTGGAATAAACAAACAAACATCAATACGCACAGTGGATCTCAGTTTAAAAGAAGTCCGATGCTAGAACAGGCAGCAGAAGAAACTAAACAAAATAACAATGAACAACATAAATTAACAAAGGACTACTAGTAGTTACTGACATGCCAGCTCCAGACTTCGATTACACTGATCGAAAGATTACATGTCTTCATCATATGAAATTCAACCACAATCCCTCCCGTTACTGGTTTAGTATCATGCCATCATAAATGATGGTAAAGTATGTTATTGTTGCTGATGTTATTATACTCTTATAAAACAAAAATGGAATTCATTGCTTTACACATTGCCGATGAGATCTATAAACGAAATGGCAGTGTATATTTGTAAAATAATGCAACGAAAGACATCCTTTACCAAATTTAATTAATTTGCATTTGAAGGACAATGTACATAGCATTATTTCCCATAAAATGTTGCTTTTGCTAAAAAATTATCTTCTCATTGAATGTTGTTCCGAGTAAGGAAACCCATGGTTACTCTTGCTCTATTGGACCGGGCATTATTCTGCTGAAACATCTCCCTCTGTTGGTCAAAAACATTGAGAGTATATGTGGCTGCAAAATATCTGCTCTATATAACGTTGAGTCGTTAAATTTTCTAGGACACGCACTATAGTGTTGTTCTGCGGTTGCAGGTTATTGCTGTCCACGCAATGACACTAACACCACCAAATCGGTCAACTGTCTGTACGCAGACACGGGCGAAACACTTATTTCGACGCCTGTATAAGCAAGCACGTCCTTCGCTTCTTTCGAGAAGAAAACGATACTCATGGCTGAACCAAATTGACGGAAATTCTCTGTAAACCTGGGATACTAGCAGCAGTGGTTATGACAGAGACTGTTCGATTACGTATATATTTTTGAACCACCCGAAGATATACATACCTGACATGGACTGGAGTATTGATGCCTGGCTTACCGCTTCGAGGTCGATCTTTTGCTGATCCAGTTTCATTTATTCTCTGCAAAAGGCGTGAAATTTTGCTCTGTTTAAATTTGAATTGTCCGGTAAATTCAGTTTGAAATTGTCTGGCTTAAAGACGGTCAATGACGTTAACGATACGTGTAGCAGGGTCTAATCATGGCATAATGGAATTTCACAGTTTTGTACATGATAATTACGCGGGTGATTAACCGCAAGTTTCTTAAAGAATACATTAACATTTTTTCTGCACAGTTACAACAACATTTATTTCTTTGTTCTTGAAAATACACTAGGTATGGCGAGATGACAAATGGCTTGTACCAGCATTTTGTTTTTGGAATACTCATTGCTTTAATATTTAATTGCTAATCATCGGTTTAATTTTAATTGTCCTTTTAATTGAAAAAAAAAATAAACCCATATGCATGCGTTTTCGTAGGTTTTATTTCTAAAACAGCACACCTTTCTGCATGTACTATTCCTGGAATGTAGGACAGAGATTAGTGCATGACATGTGTACTATTTTAATTACAAAGTAGAGTGTTATGCATGTATTATTGCATGTTCTTTCGTGATATACGCGATGCATGGTAATCCATTGCTTGGTCATCCTAAATACTAGGAATGAAATAATTGCCACTGGACGCTAAGCAAGCAACAACCAACCAATCAATACACCGTTATGTTTATCATATGATTGTACGAAGTCTGGAACCTCGATAGTGAAGTCTTTAACAATATCTTAAAACAATTTTGTCATTTTAAAAATATAAACAATGGTCTCTTGTGGACATTTGTCTAATTGGCAATCACATCTCATTTTTTTATTTTTAAATAAATCATGTGAGTGCCAAAGCAGCGACTTTTGATCATGAGCTGAAAATACCCTTAGGAACTAGTAGTCCTACAGCAGCGGTATCGACCTATTTAAAAAATGACTTAAATAATACCATATGAACCGCTATATGACCAAAAGGGACACATATTTTTTACCGCCTTATAAAGGAAAAAAAAAATACATCAATGAATAACCCAAGACTGTGACGCGGACATTGAAGTCATTGCTATGGTTTGGTTAAGCTATTGACATGGTTCGGTTAGGTGTTTAGTAATTCGTCATGGTTTTGATCAAGTGTGTCATGGTTTAGATCCAAATTTATATATGTGTGTTTCAGCTCAATATTGATAGTTTGTTTGAAAACGCTTGTAATTAAACGAAGTTGCACGATTTACCAACTGACTAAGTAGAAAAAAGCCTTTTAAACCAAATTTGATAGGTGTAATCGACAAAGCGAACATTTAACAATTTTACTTTTCGTGACTTGTCTCTGTATGCAAATCGTACGACTATGAGTGTCTTGTAAAAATTTAGGAATAAATGAGCATTCATGTAATCCCACATACAAAAACATCATTTGACAAGGATGAGATATTGGCGAATAATAAGTCCTTTGTGGCTTCAATTAACATTACATTGAACAGCCGTGAAATCAGAAGACTTACCTTGTTTGTATTGGATACCTAAGCAGCTAAGCTTTACAAAATTCCATACAAACAACCGTACATTGCCGGCTCATCTCCATGTTCGACGAAAGAATTGTCCATTAGATTGACAAAGATTTTTTCCGCAGTGAAAGAGGGTCTTCAGAAATACTGTGAAACTGTTTACTCGCGTAGTGGTATTAACCATATGTGGATCCTGAAAAAAAACTCCAAAGAACTT